CCGCCCTTTTCTTCCGGCAGCCGTCTTGGGTTCGCGGAGGCCAATAGGCTCTATGGTGAAGTGAGAAGAGGGAATATCTAGGGAGAGGGAGAGAGCGGGAGATGAGATAAGCGGCGGTGCGGTTTTGCCTGCCGGTGTGATTCCACAAGATGGCGTTCTGGTTTCGTCGCGGCCCCGTCTCAACTCAGCCCTAGGGGGGAGGGAAGAATGCTGGGGCATGCGCGCCCGGGAGAGTACGAGTACAAGCAGGGACGGCCAAGGCAGGCGGGCAGGCCAAAAAGAATGTTGACGAGAGTAGGCGCAGGGTTCGGGTTGCTTCCTTCTCCGTCTTCTTGCTGCGCTGTTTGGGGTGTCCCGTTTGGGCACGGTACAGGTACAGAAATACAACCTACGCGGGTGGATTGCGGCGCGTGTGCGCGGGTTCCACGGTCTGTGTGTGTGTGTGTGCTTTGTATTTTGCGGTCGGAGAGTTGGGGGGGGAAAGAGAGAGGCTTGTTCCGGATTGGCACGCATGCACGCGTACAGTCAAATATACTACTTACCACCACTTTGGAAAGCTTAGACATTATTATACATACTCCGCAGGGGCCTGCTACGTACCTCCATCCGTGCCTCACTGTGATAGTGGTCCCGCGTGGAGCCTGGCAATACCTATGGAACCTGTTGTTTATTACTCGGATGGGGGACGCATGCATTGCTTTGCTAAATCCACGACATGCAGCTGTGCGGCGCATATTACATACATACGTGCGCATTGCGAGTTTCCATCATTTATTAGGGCCTGACAGACGCACGCTGGATGATTGGCTGGCCTACTGAGCTGCCTGCCTGCCTGCTTCCCTGCCCGTCTCTATCAACCACCGTCCCTATTGAAAACTAGGTCGCTGATTTGTCGCCCGTCTCAACTGGTAAGGGAGGGTGTCTTTTCCCCCAAGATGGGCTTCGAGGCGCAGCTCTCATCCACGATGGGTAGCGGCCACCAAGGTACGTACTGCCAAGTTAGGCAACGGTACCAACTCGGAGGCAATCCGTGGGGTTTGTTCAGCTGTCTGGCTGGCTTGTTATGCCGAATACCTTGGGACCTACGCGGAGCTGAAACGGCGGCGGGGACCATACAATTACCTACACTACACGACCGTACCTGGCCGAGCAAGGGTTAAGGTACCTAGCCAGGCACATCATTACGTGCATTGGATCTCGGTTCACCACCCATATTGATGAACTCTATGGTACAGTGCTACGTGCCCGCATAAATATACCAAAACACAATCACCACCACTACTCCAGGCACTACTCACGTAGTATCGGGAGAGTCTGCTTCTAGAAGAGTGGAAAAAAGGTCGCCCACCACCCAAAAAGGGCCTTCGCCTCTTCCACCGGAGCGCGAGCACCTGCTCCAAGCGTCTTCGGTCCCAGACTTTTCTTTCTTTCCACGCAAAGCCCGGCCGGCCGGCTGGCTCCCCACATCGCATCACACATCGTTTTTTTACAGCAACAACGTCCGGCGCGTCCTTTTTTGAAAGTGATCTCCGTCCGGACGGTGTGGCGCGCTGGCGTGTGCCGCGTTGCTGGATTTCGTGTGCTACTAACCTAACGTTAGCACCGTGTGCCGTGTGCCGCGCGCAATAGTGTGCTCGATAGCTGGGTGCGCCGTTTACCGTGATACTACGTATACGTGAAATGAAAGATGAAAAACGTGGGCGGGTCGGTCGCCAAAAAGGACCAAATATCTGGGGGTCTTCTGTTACCTACGCTTGGTTGGCTCCGGCTGCTGTGGGATCCGGTGGTGCCCACTGCCCACCGTCCTGAAGAAGAGCCGCTCGACGCCAGACGCAGGTACCAAGTGGTTACGGGGAGGCACCTTGGGGCGGTCCCGACAGCCGGGATGAAGCTTGCATGGGGCCGTTTCGGAGACCGGACGGCGTGCCCAACAGCAGCACGGAGGACACACGGCGCCGGGATCACTCCCACAAGTAGCGGCTTCCAGCTGAGACGGCGACGTGTTGGTGCCTTTGCTTGCGTTACAGCACTGTAACTACTCCGTATGCATAACGCAGGTAGGTATCGGTATTGCTATTGCTATTATTGTTGCCGCCATCATGACTCGGGCACGGCGAGCTCTTCGGCTGCAACGTTCCACTCCTCCTCGTCGTTCCACACCGGCGACAGGACGAAGCGCCCCATGATCTTGCCCATGCCGATGCTGTCGCCGCCAATCACCCCGTGCTGCGGCTTCTCGTCGTTCTCCTCCATGATGACCGCCGTCGTGAGGAAGTTCATGCCAGCCGCCGGGCTCAGCTCCAGCGTCGTCCCGCCCCAGTCGAGCTCGACCTTGCCCGACTTGCGCACGTTGAGCTTGCCAATCATGCCGCCCTGTGACAGCAGCTGTGATCGGAACCCGCCCGTCTCGTCCTCGTCTTCGTCGTCGTCATCCTCCTCGTCCGCGTCGGCAGTGGCGTGCCGGCTGTCATCCTGCGTCAGGTCCACGGGCGCGGCCGGCGCATCCGCCAGGCTAAAATTGTCCTCTTGTTTGACCTTTGGCCGCGGCGCCGCGACCTGCTTGAGGGGCGGTATTAACGGCGGGAATTGGAACAGGTACATCCGGCCGTCCTTGTTCGATGGGCCTTCTGACTTGGTCTCCCCGTCCTCGCCGGTGACGGTAACGGCCCCCAGCTCGCTGGCGAGCAGGTTCATGTCTGCTTGGATGATCTTGTCCTCCGGATCTTGTGGTATCTCCTTCTTGGGTTTCGCGATCTGCACCGGCTTCTTCTCCTGCTTTGGTGACGTCAAGGCAGGGTCGATGTCCATGGCGTCTTCGGTGTCAGGCTCCTTCTTAATGGCAACCTTGCCCTCCAGCTTCGGGTCCCAGATGCCGTCCTCCTCCGGCTGTTGCGCCAGCGGCAGGGAGCCGTCGCCATCGACCCAGAGGCTCTCTTCCTCTCCCGTCGCGTTTTCGGCCGCCTCGAGCTCTGCTGTGGTGGCGACGACGATGCCCGTCTCCTTGTGTTCTCTCCTGTAGATGCCCATGGGCATGGCGCTCGGCGCCCGGCCGCTGAGCGTAGCCATCATGGCCTCGTCTTCGCTGTCGAGCTCCTCCTCCGGAGCCATGACGTGTAGTTTGTCGGCGTTGATTCTCGCTTCGCGCATTCGTGAGCCGTCCGCTTCGGCGAAGCCTTTGCCCTCAGACTTGCCCGATCTGCCTCCGGCGCCGTGGAAGCCGCCGCCAGGTCCGCCACCCGCGCCGCCACCTCCAAACCAGCCGCCAGCTCGTCCTGATGCTGTTTGCAATGTCAGCGCGCTATCCGACCGCAGCGAGTGCTGTCAACTTACAGCCTCCGATGCCGCCTCCGAATGGCCCACTCGCCGTGGAGATTCCACGTCCGCCTCTGCTTCCCATTGCATCTCCGCGACTACGTTTGCTGCGGAATCTTGAGCGCCCTTGTGCTCGTCGCTCTGCTGCCGCCCTCTCGGAAGCCTTCTGCTCCTCCTGCCGCGCTAGAGAGTCTCTCTCGGCCTCATCTCTTCGCACCGCCTTTGGCTTGAACCGGCCTGTCGAGGGGCCTCGCGTTGCCCGGGCCGTCCCGCGACGCACTGTGCTTGGGCCGGCGGCGGCGGCGTCCGAGCCGGCCGGGGTCGCCTCGCCGGCTGAGGCTGAAGCTGTGTCGGTGGTGTCGGTGGTGGAGGCTCTGGTGGCTCCGGCAGAGGCAGCACCCCTCCGGCCGCCCCTCGCCGTTGCTCGTCCGCGAACCATGTCTCTTGTCGGGCTATAAGGAGTGGGAAATCATCGAATTGCGTAGATGCCGCGATGGGATCTCGTCGTGACGCAGTCGTTTTAAAAGAGGAATGTGAAGCTCCAAAAAATTGGGCGGTGGAGGGGCGGCTTGGTGGGGGACGAGATTCTGCCGGCTTTAGTGGCCCACCGCCTGCCGCCCGAGACAGGCGGAGACCATCATCAATAGATCCTACCCGGCATAGGCGATGATGCTTGAAGAAATCAATCGTCTAATGCTCGGCGCTTTGAGTGATGCCTTTTCATAAAATTCATTGGCTCGCGTTGTTTGGTTATCAATTAGTCTTCAGTTCCGTGGTCTTCCAGCCCTGATTATCACGCTACAACCCGACCTGTTCCTCAACCTGCTTGTTATCGTGGTAGACCTCAGGTCGCCAGATTTGAGACACTGTTACAGTCATGTAGGCCTCGATATTCATTTGGGTATATTATCGCTCGCGAATGCACCGTCACAATCAGCTCTACTACCGCAGACACATGAGCGCTTCCTCGCCAAACCGCGCATCCACGGTACCTTCTTTCATCAGCATACTCCCAAGCCACTCCTTGCCAGCCTCGACATCTGGCGCCCCGAACTTGACAATGACACAGCCACGGACGTGCGCCGCAGACCACAAGACGCCTTGGGTCTTCTCCCGCTCGATCCGCTCAGATCGCCACAGCTCAAAATTGGACATGTTTTTGGTCTCCTCCTCCCGCGCCTCCTTGGTTCGAAAGTCGCGGGAGCCTAGGCGTGGTAGGGCGTCGAACTCGGATAGGAAGAATTTGCCCACAGGCTCGAGCATGGTACCCCGCAGGATGAGCGTTCCGAACACGGACATCTTGTGCATCGTGTCTCTCAAGGGGAGGCCAACCGTGGTGCTGCCTTCCCGCGAGAGGATGACGGAGTCCCGGACGAGCAGCCGATCTCGAGATCGATCGGCGCCGGTCAGCCAGACCTCGTTGCGACCCCTCCAGTTGACAAAACTCCAGTTCTCGCCACGAGCGGTGCGGCCTGCCGTAACCCAGTCCAAAAGACACAATGAGCATCGACTGGCTAGCTTGAAGATTTGCGTCTGCGTGTACACGCTGTCCTCGAAAGGTTGGACGGGGTCGGGGAGTAGACAGAGCGCCGAATCTTGCTCCATCTTGACCGTCATGGTCTGGCTCGTGACCACCTCTGGCGAGGGGGACTTGAAGATCTTGGTGTGGCCCTGGGTGACGAGACTGAGGCTTGCTCCGGCGCGAATCTCAATGCCCAGGTTGACGGAGTCGCCGCCGACAAGGCCGCCTCCGTATGACAAGAGAAAGACGACGACGCTCTTCTGGCCGCCGGAGGGAGACGTCGGGGAGATGAGCTTCAGCGGATACTGGTAGGCGATGGCCTCCAGCCCGTTGCCTCCGCCGGGCAGCAGTTTCGCGACAATCTTGCCGTCCCCGGGGGACGCCGACGTCTTCGGGAACGGGTGACTCCATACCTGGACCATGGCGTGCGATGTCGGGGCGGTGTCGCTGGACGTGATAAGCAGTCAAGGGCCGCGATGGAATCCTTTGCAAAGGGTCTCGTCGTCAGAGCATGCTTGAACACGACCTGCCTCGCACCCCGCGCAGTCCAACCGTCCCGTCACCTGCGGCCGCGTTTCGTCTGGGGGAGGGAGCGGCTGGTGGTGGGACCCAACCGTCTGTTGTGTAACATGCATCTATCCATGTCGGCCGCCCGTTATCTTAGCCGTGGCCGTTTGGTTTCGCCGAGGGGTCCATTCGTGGCGGGCGGTTTGGAGGTGGGCAGGCAGGCCGACAGGCCCAGCAAGCCCATGGCCCAGTTACGTACCTGCCAGGGGTGGAGGCGTCTGGTCTGGCGCCACACTCGACTGGGTCAACGGGCGGCGGCGATTGGCCGCGCGTGCCGAACTTTCGCCGACGCAACGCAGCCAGCCGTCGCCCACGGTGGCTCAACTGTATCTGCGGCGCCTGCTGGGGCTGCTGGCTCAGGCGGGTGGGCGAGTTGAGCCCCCGGCCGAAGCCACATATTGACGCACCCGGGACCCGTGCGACTCGCCCGCCCCCATCCCCTGGGCGGCCGCCATTACAGCGCCCCCAAGCGCGTCCACGGCCCCCGACAGACAGCGACGGCCCTGGAGCAGCCGCCCGCCTCCACTAAAACCGCAAGCCAACAGTCCCGTCTGGAACGCGCGCGCCTGGGCTGGTGCAGGCGGTCTCCGCTCCAGAAACATCCCATCCAAATCAATATTAATCGCGACTCAACCGACCGCCACCCCGACGACAACGCGCCGCAGGACCTGAGCGCCCTCGCAGATGCCGCCCGCGTGAACCACGCCGTCTGCACCCGCGATACACGCACACGACTCACGCACGCCATGGACAACAGCGCCAGCGCATCGCCCGAGCCGGACTCGACGGCGCGTCGCAGGTCGGGACGCGTCGTGCGGGCGCCCGCCAAGTTCGCGCCCGAGCCCACCACATCCGCCGCGTCGAAGCGCAAGCGCGGCGACCAGGACGGAGACGATGTCGACGACGACGAGGATATCGACGATGACGAGGAGATGAGCGACGACGCCGCCGCCGCCAGCGACGACGAGCACCCCGCGCCGCGCTCGCGCAACAGGGCCAGCCGTCCCAAGAAGCCATCGTCCAAGAAGCCAAAGATCAATGGCGCGACCCCTGCGGAGGCCGGCCACCTCGCCCGCATCCCCAGCAGGCCCAAGAAGGCCGTCCGCATCGAGGCCGGGGAGAAGGGGACCGGCATCTTTGGTGAGTCTGCCCCCCGCCTGCCCGCGACCCTCCCCTCTGCGCAGTCCCTCCCCGCTGCGCCAGGCAATTGAATCAATGCTGACTCAATGATCCAGCCGAGATTTTCGGTTCCGGCGACTCGTCGAGCACCGTCGCGCAGCAGTGGCTGGAGAAATACAGAGCCGACGACGCGGTTGCCATGAGCGACCTCATCAACTGCGTCCTGCAATGCTCGGGCTGCGACCTCGAGGTGACACCAGATGACATCCGCGACCCGGAAAACATTCCCAACAGACTGGTCGACCTCCAGAGCGTCTATCAGGAGGTATTCCGATCCCACCACCGATAGGGGGCGTGCCCATACTGACGTGTCTCAGCAACAAATCACAGAATATCCGTTGATCTCGAGGGCCAAGAGCACGAGGTCTTTTCGAGACCTGCTCGTCGGCTTCTTTCAGTCGCTTGTCGTACTGCTTCACGAGACCGAGGTTCTCTACAAAGATGCCGAACTGATGGACAACCTCCATGCATGGCTTGCCAGCATGTCCTCGTCCTCGCTGCGCCCTTTCCGCCACACGGCCACTACCATCTCCCTCGCCGTGCAGTCCGGCCTCGTCGAGGTCGGAGGCATGCTCGACCGCAGAATAGCAAGCAACGAGCAGGCGGTCCAGGCTGCGAAGAAGGGCAAGAATAAGACCAAGGCTGCCGAGATTCAGCGCAACTTGGACCAGGCCAACGGCTATCGCAAGTCTTGCAGTGACGCGATCCAGTCCTTCTTCGACACAGTCTTCGTCCACCGGTACCGAGACGTAGACCCCAAGATCCGCGCCGAGTGTGTCGAGGCTCTGGGCTCGTGGATCTGGGACCTGCCCACCGTCTTCATGGAGCCGGGTTACCTCCGCTATCTGGGGTGGATGCTGTCAGACACCAACGGGGCTACCCGCCAGGAGGTTCTGAGACAGCTTCTCCGGGTCTTCAGGCGGGACGCCCAGAAACTGGGGCATTTCATCGACAGGTTCCGTCCGAGACTGATTGAGATAGCCACACTGGACTCGGAAGTCTCGGTCAGAGTGTCGGCAATTTCAGTCATTGACACCCTTCGCGCGGCCGCCCTCCTGGAGCCGAAGGAGATAGACGCCATCGGCAAGCTCATCTTCGATACTGAGCTGCGGATCCGCAAGGCTGTCGTTGGCTTCTTTGTGGCCTGCATCGACGACGTTCACGAGGGCAAACTGGACGAGATTGGTGGGGAAGAAGCTCTGAACGAGCTCAACGATGCCGACGAGGACGACTACGAGTCCCCGCGCAAGGAATGGGTCAACATCAAGTGCCTTGCGGAGACCCTGGCGATCTACGATGCGCAGATTGAGGAAGCACAGCAAAACGGCGCTCAGGCGGAGCTTGATGCAGCTGATCTTCTCGAGTCGACAGTGCCCGACACCCGGATATCCCTCGCTGCTCAGGTGCTGTACGAAAAGCTTCCCGAGGTAAAATCTTGGGAGATCTTGGCAGGCTACCTGCTTTATGATCACTCGACAAGCACCAAGTCCAAGTCCAGGTCCAAGTCCAAGGCCACGTCGGCAGAGGCGACCTTTAAGAAGGCCGTCGCACCGACGCCCGCCGAAGAATCGATTCTCCTCGACGTCCTCAGCTCGGCGATCAAGCTGAGCCTGGTGCAGACTGGCGAGCACGACAGGAACAGGCGCAAGGGCTACCGCTCTGAAGCAGCCGAGGCCCAGGAGGAGATCGCGCTTGAGCTGACAACAACCATTCCCAAGCTCCTCAACAAGTTTGGTGCCGACCCCGAAACGGCAGCCATCGTCCTCCGGCTGGAGCACTTCCTCAACCTCGACGTCTTTCAGCAGCTGCGGCAAGACGCGTCCAAGTACGAGAAGCTCCTCGATGAGATTAGCACGCAGTTTAATAGGCACGACGACAAGCGGGTCCTGTCCGAGGCGGCGTCTGCTCTGCTGCACGCGCGACAGTACGAGGAGCTGGAAGAGGTGACTGACAGCAAACTGTCCCTGCTGTGGGAGAACGTCATCAACGCCCTGCGCAACTTTGACAAGACCTGCGAGCTGTCGGTGCGCGGCAACCTGGGGGCGGCGCCACTCCGCGAACTGGCTACGGTCCTGCTCAAGATTAGCAAGCTGGCCAGCATATCCGATTGCGTCGATGCGCTTGAGGCCGGGTCAAGATCTACGGATTCAAGCGCCCCAGCCATCGAACTTTTGTCCAACATCGTGCACCGCGGAAAGTACGAACCTCAAGAAGATGAGATTGATGATCTCGAGGACGAAGTCGTCACCTATGCGATCAGAGCATGCCAATTCTACTTCATGTGGAAGACGCGGAGCCTTTCCGAGATCCTGACGGCTGGCACGACCATCTCCGATGCCGATCTTGATACCTTGTCCATGCTGTACCAGTCATACCGCAGGCACCTGATTGAGACGTTCTCGTCCCGCGCCGCCATCGATCAGCTGCGTCTCTTCGCCACCGGGAGCCTGTGCGACCTCCACCTCACCTTTGCCGTCATCCGACGCCTCGTCAAGGGTTCGGCGGCCCGTCCGGAAGTCGGGCGAAAGCTCGGCTTCCTGGTCGCCGAGATCGAGCCCGGTCTGGTCCCGGAGCTCATCTCCATCTTCGACGGCGCCGAGAAGCAATACGCCAAGAAGGCCAAGAAGGACAAGACGCTCAACGAGCCAGCCGAGGACGAGGACCCGATGACGGACGAGGAGGAGGAAGACGAGGACGAGGACGAGGGCCTCACCAAGGAGGAGCGCCACGCCGCCGAGCTGCGGGCCGAAAAGGCCCTCTGCGAGCTCTCGGCCAAGTACGTCCTCGCCCTCACGGCCAAGCTCATCGACGACCGCGGCTCCCAGGCCAGCAAGCTGCGCCGCCGCATCCTGCGCAACCAGTTCAAGCTGGGCAACAACTTCAAGGAGGTGGTGGCCTACCTCGACGAGGAGAAGATGGCCCGCCGCACCAAGAAGCCCGCCGCCAAGCTCGCGTCGACGCAGCCCGCGCCGCAGCGCCCCGTCAGCGAGGACATTGTCGACGACGACGACGACGACGACTTTGACAACATCTTTGAAGACGCGGAGCCCGAGGAGGGCACGCGCGAGGACCTCCGGCGGCGAGAGCTCCTCGTCGACGACGACCCCATCGAGGATGACGAGGACGAGGACTTGACGGCACGGCCCGCTAACGACGTGGATGACGATGACATTCTTGGGGACTGATTCGTTTGGTTTTGTTTTCTTCAATTGACACTGTCTGTTCTCTTGACCGAATGATGGATTGATTGACTGTGGACGTGCGTGCGGTAAACCCCGACTACGCTGGGGTTGAAAAAGGTCGGAGGAGCGGTGCGCTACTGGTGTACTCTTTGTTGCCCTTCTTCTTCTTCTGCGTGCACTTTGATTCCTACTCTTGCGGTCTGCGGTCTGCGGTTCGCGGGTTTGGCTCTTATGAACGAACCCATTTGTCATCTGTCTTGCTTGATTGCCCTGGCTCAGTGTATGAAACTATCTATTGACTACTGCTTCATGTCGAGGAATGGGATGGAGGGGGCCTTGGGGCGGCCCCCCTGCTGGCCTGGCGTTTTTTGCTGTACATCTTTGTTGATCAATCAAGTCATTTCAAGCTACGTACGACTCGCTTTTGTCTCTATTGAAACATCCTGGGGGGCCACAGTAAGAAATGTCAAGATGGGGGGTATATTAACTAGGCATCATCATCCATCGCTGGCAAGTAAACATAACCGTGACATGCGTGGGCGTGTGCCTCACGACCCAGAGATTTTGGTGCCAAATAGCTTGTACATTCGCTCCCACCGTTTCGAGTCGCTGGCGTTGGCCTTTGCGGGATCCGATTCTGGCATCTTGATTCCATACTCTTGCACGCAGCACGAGAACGGGCGGTTCGACACCTTGGACGTGGCGTTGGGGGTGCTTTCGTCATCGCTGTCTTCTGGGGGGTTGTCGTGGCCGGTGGCAGCCCTCTTTGTATCCCGACTCTTGTGCTCTTCCAAGTCGCCCCACAGGATGAACAGCTGCTGGCGGAGCGCGTCGAGATTCTTGCGGTCGTGCCTCAGATTGGAACCGTCCAGGTTGACGAGGCACTGGGCCGCCGAGTTGTCGACTGTGACCCAGAATCGCTCCTTCTGCTTCCCGGGATGCACAGCGGCATCCTCCAATTCCAGCGAGAACTTCCACTCCCAGCGCTTCACGGCCGTAAAATTATCCAGCGTATTCTCGTTACAACTTTCCACATCCGTGTCGGAATTGCCCTCGTCATCACCAGAATCGTCCGAGAGGCAGTCGTATGGAGAACTTGCCTTCTTGGGATGGCAAAAGTCACGCAGATCGGACGGCCTAAAGTTGACCACCCTGACGTTGGTGCGGTAATTTCGATTCGAGAAGGGAACCTCCAGCCTGACGCGTTCGCCGTCAATGCTAAACTCGCGATACTGTGGTGCGAGGATGTCTGCGACTAAGCTAGTTGGCCGCTGATGATTCTCGCATTGAACTGCTTCGTCAGTATTCTGGACCAATGAAGTCGGCGGATGAACGTACTTTGAGGATTCAGATCTGGCACACTGGGTGGCGGGTCGCTCATCTCTTTTACTAGGCCATCGGGTAGTGAGGCCGTCTGCGTTGTTGCAGCTTGACGATCTTCTGCGGCGGCTTTCTGAAGATGTGCACGTCTTTCCTTGCGGTTCCGTTTCACCGAGGGCGCAGGCTCGAGCCCAATGTCGGCCCTCCGTTTTGCACCAGCTACAGCTGCCTCGTCAAGCTGCTTGCGCTTCTTCTCAATAGTATTGTCGAGCTCTTTGCGCTCACTCTTGTACGCTTGCTCGTACTCTTTTCTGCGCCGGATTGTGTCCTTGAGCTCTTGGCTGAGATTCTTGCGATCGCTCAGGTCCAGGGGGAAGAGATTTATCCTTTCTGGATATCGTTTGTCCTCATGGAGAAACCCCTCGAGGTTGGCGTTGTTGTGGCCAAACTTGATGTGTAAGTTACGCATCTTGATCCACGACCCCTTCGAAACCGGATGGTCGCGAACGACATCAGCATGCGGAAAGAAGCAAGTGACTTGCATGCTTCGCTGTCCAAAGGGACCGGCCCAGTCTTGTTCCTCCTTGTTCTGAGGAAGTATGCCGAATGGATCGCCAACCTGGCCTCGCGGTGACTTCCCTCTTCCAAATGAATGCTCAAAGAAGGCACTGTTCTCAGTGTAGTCGGAGACCCAGAGCGTGTATTTGTCACCCAGCCAATAAGGCTCGCGAACGACTTCCACAATCGTGTCGGTGTACATGCCTTGTTGGACGTCCTTGAGTGTGCTGTACTTGTCCTTGATGTTGACAGACTGTACTTTCATTACCTCATATTCCGAGGGAGCGGGAAGGCGTTCCTTGTTAATCAGATGGTACAGAAGCGAGACGAACGCCTTTTCACCGGGCGACGGCGCCGTGCCCGGCTTGGCCGACGTTCTCAAGGCGGGCGTAGGATCCCGGGGAGGCTTGGAAATCTTGGCAGCTTCGTAGACCCGAAGGCGCGTTGCCACACTCGTGAGCAACGAAACGTTTGCGGATTGAAATGCTTGCACCTGCCGCACCATCATTAACCACTGCGTGAGGGAATGCAAGATCGACGAGAATACCTTGGCTTGAGAGATGACCATAACATCCCCGTATCCAACCTCAGGCATTTCAGCCTGAGGGCGAAAGATATTCAGCTCCAGTGACACATCGGGCTCGTCCTCAACCGTCTGGTCATAGAAACGGATCTGGCATTTCCAATCTGGAGGCGCTTAGCATGTGCGTGATGAGATATGTTGCATTTTGGAGCTGTTACCTTTGCCCCTCGTTGGTATCGGCGCTCGAAATTCGGCCACGATTCCAATTACATTGACCAGACTGCCCTTCCTGCACTTGCCATCAAGGATGTCTCGCACAGTGGTATAGCCTGGAGGAAGCTTCTCTGCTAGGCCTTGAGACATGGTCCCTTCATGGCGGTCGTGGACCTAGAAGTCCAGCCAACAGGCTATGGAACAATTGGTTGAAAGAGAGAGATATCGGAAAAAGAGCAGGGCCCTTGCCGAACAGAGTGCGCGGGGAACGAGACGGTGCGACGGGGACGAATATCGCGGGCGTGGAACCAGACGCGTTAAGCCCACTCGGACCTACCGCGTCTTGTCTGCACTACCAGCTTGATGGTCGGCGCGGGTGCACGTGACCTCGGGTTTCACAGTGCTTCCTTGCATTGGAGTTGCAGGCGCCATGGCGGCAAGCGCGCACCTACAGGTCGCAGCCAGAACTCAGAGGTAGCCCACTAACGACCAAGACACGGAACCCACCGTAAGCGTGGCGGTAGCCCGAGTAGCCCAGGTTTGGCCGCCCCTCCCCGCTCGTCCTGCCGTGCACAAATTTTTCTGCCTCAGGCGGCCAGGAAGAGCCCCCTCCAGGGCGGTTTCTCCAGTGGAGGCGACGGCGGCTGCTCAGTCAGGCTCTCTGGCAACCAAACGAATCTAACAGGCCTGGGGTCATTTCTTTTCGCAGTCCCCTTCCCACTCCTCCAAAAGTCAACTTTTCTCCATCACCAACAGAGTGCCACCCTTCCTCTGCCGGGTTGCCCATCCGCCTCATCCTCCGAGCTGCAGCTCCCGCCTCAGCGACGCCTTTTCCAAGCTCGGTCAGTGTATCGCTATTACTAGTGACTACTCGACCTGGGTGCAGCGATTCCTCCCATAACAACAAACCCCCGCACTCGCCTTTGGCACCAGCGCTTGTCACCCCGACCGCCAGCAATCCTTCACCTTCGTCACCATGGCGGAGCGATACATTCCGGAGCATCGCCGGACGCAGTTCAAGGCGAAGAATACCTTCAAGCCTGAAGAGCTCCGCCGCCGCCGCGAGGAGCAGCAGGTCGAGATCCGCAAGGCGAAGCGCGAGGAGAACCTGGCCAAGAGGCGAGGCATTGGATCCGGTGAGAACCGACCCGGTGCCTCGCTCGGCGCCGCTCCCGATAGTGATGACGAGTCGGCTCCCACAGAGTCCCAGGTACGTGCACTTTCCCCTTTGATTCTTTGTTGTTTTTGCCATGTGTTTTGTTGCGGCGGGGCTGCCGGCTTTGAGCGATGGATTAGGCCCCTCGTCAGTCACCTCCACTGCGTCGCTTGCGGTGTGGGGGAAGCATGTGCTGCACGACCCCACACCGCGCTTCAAGCATCATCCGGCCCCGAAGCACGCTTCACGAGTCTTTTAAGCTGCTTCAGGCTATCAGCATTACCCCTTCCCCTTGCAATACCTGATTCTGTCAAGATGGCTGACCGCCTCTCTGCAGTTGAACGAGGACCTTCCTCAGATGGTCCAGGGTGTCTTCTCCGACCAGATTGACGCCCAGATCTCCGCCACCACCAAGTTCCGCAAGCTCCTGTCCAAGGAGCGCAACCCTCCCATCGAGGAGGTCATCAAGACCGGTGTCGTCAGCCGCTTCGTCGAGTTCCTGCGATCGCCCCATACGTTGGTGCAGTTCGAGGCCGCCTGGGCCCTGACCAACATCGCTTCCGGGTCTGCTACCCAGACTCAGGTGGTCATTGAGGCTGGCGCCGTCCCCATCTTTGTTGAGCTCCTGGCCAGCCCCGAGCCCGATGTCAGGGAACAGGCCGTCTGGGCTCTGGGCAACATTGCCGGCGACAGCCCCCACTGCCGCGACTATGTCCTGAGCTGTGGCGCGCTGAAGCCTCTGCTGAACCTCCTCGGGGACAGCCGCAAGCTCAGCATGCTGCGCAACGCCACGTGGACCCTTAGCAACTTCTGCCGCGGCAAGACGCCGCAGCCTGATTGGAACATGGTATGTTACCCTGCGGTCCTATCTTGTATCTGCTGGGCCTGACTCTCCCTTCCTCCCAGATCTCCCCTGCGCTCCCTGTCCTCTCCAAGCTCGTCTACTCCCTCGACGATGAGGTCCTGATTGATGCATGCTGGGCCATTTCCTACCTGTCGGACGGCTCCAACGATAAGATCCAGGCTGTCATCGAGGCCGGCATTCCCCGCCGCCTGGTGGAACTGCTGATGCACGCTTCTACCTCTGTGCAGACGCCCGCTCTCCGGTCCGTTGGCAACATCGTCACTGGTGACGATGTCCAGACCCAAGTCATCATCAACTGCGGGGCTCTTCCGTGCCTCCTGTCCCTGCTCAGCTCCACCAAGGATGGCATTCGCAAGGAGGCTTGCTGGACCATTTCCAACATCACCGCCGGCAACTCGTCTCAGATCCAGTCTGTCATCGACGCGAATATTGTTCCGCCGTTGATCCACCTTCTTCAGAATGGTGACCTCAAGACCCGCAAGGAGGCCTGCTGGGCCATCAGCAACGCCACCTCCGGCGGCCTCCAGAAGCCTGAGCAGATCCGCTATCTGGTGTCTCAGGGCTGCATCAAGCCTCTGTGCGATCTCCTGACCTGCCCCGACAACAAGATCATCCAGGTCGCCCTCGACGGCTTGGAGAACATTCTGAAGATTGGCGATCTTGACAAGCAGGCGGCGGGCGAGAGCGCCGAGTCCATCAACCGCTACGCCCTCTTCATTGAGGAGTGCGGCGGTATGGAGAAGATCCACGAGTGCCAGAACAACGCCAACGAGGAGATTTATGTCAAGTCGTACCACATCATCGAGAAGTACTTCTCGGACGATGTCGAGAACGCCGACGAGGGCATGGCTCAGCCGGCTGGCCCCAACGGCACTTTCGGCTTCGGCACCAATGCGCCTGCCCAATCGGGCGGGTTCAACTTTGCCAACGGAGGCGACTCGATGGACATGTAAAGGCATGGCTGCCTCTCCCCAGCAACGCCGCTGTGCAACCATCACAGCGGCGTCGGGTTTTGTTCTCGTCCATACGACAATACACATCCCCGAAACAAAATACCCCTACCCCAGTCATATCACCCAGTCGCCCGCCCACCGACCCCTGCTGGCAGGTGGCGCGGCGGCAATCACCATCCCCGATATCACCAACACAGCCCCTTGTCTTGAATCTGGCATGAAGAAGATTGCGCAGGGTGTGAGAGTCCTGGCAAGAAATGCAGGCCCTATGGTAGCTTGAAAGCTCCAGCCTGAGCGGAGGTTAGCAGTCGCGAGATGAGAGATGATGATTGATCCGTCGCTGCGAGAGAAGGTGCATCGGCGGAAAATGCGGGCTCATCGAGGCGGCCAAAGACATCACTCATGTCATGCCATGACCGGGCTGGAGAGGATCGTGGACGACTGGCAAGGAATGAAAAGCTTGACGTCGACAACTAAGCCTCGAGCCGTCCTGGACCCGGTGCTAGTGCATCCGGGTCTTTGCATGCACGACGCGTGTCGTGACCGACCTGGCGACCAAGTGGTTGCGGGTCACGATGGGACACCGACGTAGCGAATGAAACATTTTGACAAAAATTGGCCTCTGAGGTCGACGTGACGCCGGCAGGATGACATGTGCGAGACGAGAATACTGGGCTCCCTCCGTGCCACGGCCCCAAGTTGAAGATGTTGGTGTAGACTTCTATGGTGCCGATAACGACAAAGGCCGCCGTACTCTCATTGTAGCCGGAACGGAAGCTCTTCTGCCATACCCAGACATTTCTTGTACTACGCGCAGGTATGATGACCCGTCGTGTCATGGTGGTGGTATTCTGGTGGTGGTCTTTCCTCACTGTGAATGCTACCGGACTTCTGCCGAGTAACTACCTTCCCAGGCAGGTCCTGCCACAGCGACAATAGCGGACTATGCACTGTATTGTCAGCGCTAAATGGTAGGGTTGCATACAGTGCGATAACAGGTCCAGTTTTTCACTCCCTCACTGAAGCCTCTGTCACAGCAACCACATTGCTTGTCCGCGGCACTCCAACATCCGGCACAAGTCGATGTCATGGTGAAGAAGGGCAAAGGCAAGGCTGAGCAGCCTGCCGCTGGTCCGGCCAACCCCGCCAAAGATGCAGCCAAAGGCAAAAAGGGCCAAAAGACAGCCGAGCCCGCCGCCCCTCCGGTCCCGGCTGCACCGCCGCCGAAGCCCACGGTCAAGCAAATCATCGGAGGCTCGTCCTGGACGGGAAAACTCCCCGTCAACTTGCTGAGCGAGTACTGCCAAAAGCAGCAGTGGGGGAAGCCCGACTACGACACGAGGAAGACGCCCGAGGGCTTCTCGGTTTGGGTCACGTTGAGCGCCAAAGACCCGAAGACGCAAGAGATGACGAAGCTGGACCCCTTCAAGATCCCACCGACTCACAAGCATCTACTGCTCAGGGACACGGCACTGGAGGCCAAGCATGCGGCGGCTACGTACGCCCTCTTCCGCGTGTGCAGCATGCAGAACAAGCACACCGTGCTGCCGCCGGACTACAAGTCCCTCTGGAAAGAGTTCCAGGCGCTGAAAGCGCAGGACGTCAAGGAGGGAAAGGCGTGGATGTACGAGGCCGACCCTTTCAAGGCGCTGCAGGAACGCCAGGACGCTAAGGCCGCCGCCGAGAAGAAGAGAAAGGAGGCCGAAGCCGCAAAGGCCAAGGCGAAGGATATGCACGGCGCGGCGGGCCTCGTGCTATTGAGCGGCGCCAACGGAGGTGCAGGGCCCAACCCAATGAAGGGGTGGATCACGGCGCCCAAGGTCGAGATGGGCAGGAAGACGAGAGTGCAGCTCGAGGGACTGCTGCGACAGGGAATCACCTGGAACCCACACGGCGTGCGCATGCCTCAGAACCGAAAGGACGCGGTGGTTGCGGAGCTGGCCAAGCTGGGCTTCCGCCGCAGCCACGTCGCGGAAGCTGTCGAGTACTGCAAAGACCGGGAGGAGACGCTGGAGTGGCTGCTAATCCATGTGCCGGAGGACGACCTGCCGCGGTGGGTGTTGCCCGAGAGCTACTCGGCCGGCATCTCCGTTGGAGCCACCAACTTGAGGCGGGAGGGCATCATCAAGTCGCTCTCGGAGACGGGTTACTCCCTGGAGCTCTGCACAAGGCTGGTCGACGAAAATGGGGGCGACGAGGGCAAGGCCGCCGAGGCGTTGCAGAATATCCTGCTCTCTGCAACCTCGACCGAGCAGGCGTCCGATGGCCCGGATGATTTTCTCGACCTGGGCTCTCCCGAAGAGCAGTGGCAAGAGGAAGTCGAAAGCCTCGAGGCCATGTATGGCGAAAACTTCCGCCGCGAGGGCGATCAGGTCATTCAGATACGTCTGGAGTCTGTCAGGAACGCGCAAGATCCGAAGCAGGGCGAGGTGGAGGCCTTTCTTCAAGTCCGGAAAGCATCGAGCTATCCAAAGCATCTGATTCTCGCCATTGTCGCCAAGCTCCCGTCGTACATAAAGCTGAGCGTCACAAAGAAGGCGCTGGCGTACATGGAAGAGTCCCTTCAGGACGAGCCGATGAAGATATACCTCGTCACGGATTGGGTCCAGCAGAACATCAACGCCATCATAGACAACCCGGGTAAACTGGTGGACATTTCCGCGGTGTCGTCCGCTGCTTCCGAAAACCACCCCGTACCATCGGCAGCATCAAAACAGCGGTCCCGAAGGCCCCCAAGACACCTCCAATGGCGGACGGACACCCAGAGCACGGAACGATGGCTCAAAAGACAAGAAAGTCCCGCTTGGAAGGATATGCTGGCGAAGCGGAAGAGGCTGCCTGCTTGGCAAATGCGAGAGCGCATTATTCAGACCGTCATCGACAACCACGTTACCATCATCAGCGGAGAGACGGGATCCGGAAAGTCCACACAGTCTGTGCAGTTTATTTTGGATGACTTGTACGGGCAGGGCCTTGGCGAATGTGCCAACATGATTGTTACGCAGCCGCGCAGAATTTCAGCGCTTGGCCTCGCGGACAGAGTGGCGGAAGAACGGTGCTCCCGTGTGGGCGACGAAGTTGGATATGCCATTCGTGGAGAGTCACGGCAGTCACGGGACACGCGAATCACATTTGTTACGACCGGCGTTTTGCTGCGGCGATTGCAGACGTCTGGCGGGCGAGTCGACGACGTCGTGGCAGCGTTGGCGGATGTGAGCCATGTCATCATCGACGAGGTCCACGAAAGAAGCTTGGATACCGACTTCCTACTGAATCTCATCCGAGAGGTGATGAGGACGAAAAAGGACATGCTCAAGCTTATCCTCATGTCGGCGACCCTCGACGCGGACACATTCAAGTACTACTTCGCCTCGGAGGGCTTGAATGTTGGTACCGTTGAGATTGCCGGTCGAACCTTCCCCGTCGATGAGTATTACCTTGACGATGTCATCCGCATGACAGGCTTCAATGCCGAAGCCAACGACAAGGGTTTCATCGGTGACGAGGCAATGGGCAAGATCATCCAGAAACTTGGACACAGAATCAACTACAACCTGCTTGCGGAGACTGTCAAGGCCATCGACTTTGAGCTTTCCTACGAAAAGAAGACGGGCGGCATCCTTATCTTCCTGCCCGGCGTGGGTGAAATCAACCACGCATGCAACTACCTGCGGTCGATAAACTCCTTACACGTCCTACCCCTTCATGCGTCCCTGGAGACGCGAGAGCAGAAGAGGGTATTTGCTAGTCCACCGCCTGGGAAGCGCAAGATCGTGGTGGCTACCAACGTCGCAGAAACGTCCATCACCATCGATGACATTATCGCCGTGATTGACAGTGGCAAGGTAAAGGAGACTAGCTTTGACGCGCAAAACAATATGCGGAGGCTCGAAGAGACGTTCGCGTCGCGAGCGGCGTGCAAGCAGAGGCGTGGTCGCGCGGGTCGCGTCCAGGAGGGCCGGTGTTACAAACTCTTCACGCAAAACCTTGAGCAGCAGATGGCCGAGCGCCCGGAGCCAGAGATCCGGAGAGTGCCGCTCGAGCAGCTCTGCCTCTCGGTGCGTGCCATGGGCATGCGCGACGTGGCACTCTTCCTGGGCCGGTCGCCCACTCCGCCGGCGGCGCTGGCCATCGAGGGCGCTATCAAGCTGCTGCAGCGTATGGGCGCCATGGATGGAGACGAGCTCACGGCCATGGGCCAGCAGCTTGCCATGCTTCCGGCAGATCTGCGATGCGGCAAGCTCATGGTGTTTGGCGCCATCTTTGGCTGCTTGGACGACTGCGTGACGATTGCAGCCATCCTCAGCGCCAGAAGCCCGTTCCTGTCGCCGCAGGAGAGAAGAGAGGAGGCGAGAAGCGCGAGGATGACCTTTTTCAGCGGGGACGGCGACCTCATCACAGATCTCGAGGCCTTCCACCAGTGGGACGGGCTGATGCGAGACCGCATCCCGCAGCGACAGGTGAGGTCGTGGTGCGACGAGAACTTTCTCTCCTTCCAGACATTGTCGGATATCTCAAACACCAAGTCGCAGTTTTACACGGCGCTTTCTGAGATCGGCATCGCCACGCCGTGGAAGGCGGACGCATCCTCGAGCGCGGCCCAGCGAGACCCGTTGCTGATACGAGCTCTGATCGCGTCAGCCTTTGCGCCGCAAATCGCGAGGATCCAGTACCCGGACAAGAAGTACGCGAGCTCCATGTCGGGCGCCGTGGAGCTGGATCCGGAGGCGCGATTGATCAAGTACTTTAACCAGGAGAACGGGCGCGTGTTTGTGCACCCGAGCAGCACGCTGTTTGGAAGCCAAGGCTTTTCGGGAAGCGCGGCGTACATGTCGTATTTTAGCATCATTTCGACGAGCAAGATATTTATCCGCGACCTGACGCGTAAGTTGCCCTCACCCGCTTCATATTTTGAGTTGTTTAGATGGACGACACACGCAAGTGGATGGCATGCTGACCTCAACCGACCAGCCTTCAACGCGTACACGCTGCTCATGTTCTCGGGCGCCATCGAGCTGGACACGCTCGGCCGCGGCCTGCTGGTGGACGGATGGATCCGACTGCGAGGCTGGGCGCGCATCGGCGTGCTGGTGGCGAGGCTGAGAGGCATGGTGGACGACGTGATTGCCAAGAAGGTGGAGAACCCGGGGCTGGACGTCGGCGAGGACAAGGTGATTCGGATGGTGAAGAAGCTGATTGAGCTCAACGGGTTGGATGCATAAGTCGGATGAATGTGTGAATGCAGCAAGGACGCTGGAGACTTGTGGCTGGTGACGTCTTGGGATACGCGACAGGACGGGCATAGACGCCAACGGTAGAGCAATGATAAAAAAGACTTGGTATTCAAATGACCGTAAGATCTTTTCTACTGAAACCGTCTGCCAATCGTAAATCCCAGGTCGTGGCGTGTTGAAGCGCCGTCTGGCTCACCAAGCCAGGCTCGCTCACCTCACTTCACCTCACCTGAGCGCCGACCAACGACGTGTGACGTCTCTCAACTTAGACTCACTCACCTCCATCATTCACGCCTCACCCGCCAACCCACCCCGGGCGCCCTCACTCATCCTCCCCGCCACAGCGCCCGGCACCACCATGGCAGACATGGACACCGACTCGGAAGAGGCAATGACAAAGGAGGAGCTCCAAGCCGAGGAGCCGCCGCCGCCGCCGCCGCCGCCCGCAGGAAATGCAGCATCATCATCAGCCTCAGCACCAGCACAGCAGAATGCCTGTAAGTTCACCCACCCCATCTACCCTCCGTGCAAAAGAGTGGAAGCCGACACTCACATGCCGCCCCCAGTCGCCGTGCTCATGGGCCCCAAACCCAAGAAACCTCCACCCAAACCCAAGACGCCGCGCATGTCGCACCCCAACCCGTTCAAGGACCGCATGGCGCTGGGCGCGTACCTCTCTGACCCGGCGTCCTTCCCCGCCTCGTCGCCCGTCATCTACCACAACGCGGACTTCGTGGCCCTGCGCGACAAGTTCCCCAAGGCGACGGTGCACGCGCTGCTGCTGCCGCGCTCGCCCGCCGTCAACCTCCTGCACCCGTTTGACGCGCTCGCGGACCCGACGTTCCTGCGCGAGGTGCAGGAAGAGGTGGCGCGCCTGCGGAAACTGGTCGCGGGGGAGCTGCGGCGGAGGTTGGGCAGGTTTAGCAGGGCGGATAAGGCGCGCGAGGCGGTCCTCAACGGGGAGGTGGATGTGACCCCGGCGGCGGGTGGTGGTGGGGCCGGTGGTGGTGATGGCGGAGATGGAGGAGGAGGAGGAGGAGGAGGAGGAGGTAGAGCAGCAGGAGGAGGGGGAGGAGCAGAGACGGAGCTCCCGCAGGGCCGCGACTGGGAGGCCGAGGTACTCGTGGGCGTGCACGCCGTGCCGAGCATGCGGCACCTGCACATCCACGTGCTGTCGCGCGACATGCACTCGCCCGCGCTCAAGCACCGCAAGCACTACAACTCGTTCAACACGCCCTTCCTCGTCGACGTGGCCGACTTGCCGCTGGCCGAGGGCGACCCGCGCCGCGACCCCAAGGAGGCGGCGTTCCTGCGCCGTGACCTCGTGTGCTGGCGCTGCGGGCGCAACTACAAGAACCACTTCAAGGAGCTCAAGGAGCACCTCGAGGAGGAGTTTGAGGCGTGGAAGAAGGAGTGAAGCCGCGTGGGTGACTGAGTGAGTGAGTGACTGAGCGGTGGCGAGAATAGGTTCGCCTGGCACGAAGAGGGCGAGGGGATCTTGGGAGCGAGAGAGAGACACGCAGCGTCCCCGTGCTGTTCCGCATTGCTACAATGCCTCTTCGTTTTTGATACCAAAAATCATCATCAGACAACAGGGGCAGCGCATAATAGTACACGAGGCGTAAAGTGACATCCGGCGCAACCCAATCAGCGCCGACCAAGGAAAAGAGCCCCGTCCCAAAATCCCATATCCGGTTGTTCCTCGAAGCCGCCTGCGATGCGCTCAAACAACTGTTGCTAAGCCCGTTCTCGCGGTCCGATGTCGTTTTCGTCTCGTAACGCCGCTGCCGTTCCGCACTGGCGTTGGTGCAGCAGAGAGACGGAGACGAGAGGCCGCGGTGTCGCACCGTCATTCGCTTGGGGGCGTGGCGAGCGTTTACTCATCTTCTTCTTGTTCCTCGGATCCGGAGCCCTGCACACGAAGGAAAGAGAAAAAAAGCCATCAGCGAAACATGTTCTTGATCCCCGCGATCCAGGGCGACGGCGGTTGTTGGGCACCGACCTCTCCGGATTCCACGTCCATCTTCTCGTCTTGCTCGTCGTCGTCGACCTCGTCACCTTCTGCGGCGTTCTCGTTCAGCGTCTCTTCGTTTGACGGCTCGACGACCGGAGCGTCATCGGACTCACCCTCGGCCTTGTCGGACGCGGTCTCTTCCTCTGCGTCCGCAGCGGCGGCGGCCGACTCCTCGGGCGTCTCGCTCGCGGAGCCGGCAGACTTTCGGCCACGGCCCCGCGCGCCGCGCTTGCTGGTCGAGGCGGTCACGTCGGCGTCGGACTTGCGAGCGGCGCCGCGCCGTCCAGCCGCCGTCTTGGGCGTGGGCGTCGCGTTTCCGTTGGTCGTCGCCTCCGCTGCGGCAGTCTTCTTTCCACTGCCCGGGGGCCGGCCACGCGGACGGCCGGTGCCAGTCGAAGGCTTAGCAGCCTTGGTAGCCGTCGCCGCCTTCTTCTTGCCGCTGCCGGGAGGGCGACCGCGCGGGCGGCCGGTGGGCACGTAGGCCTTCTTCACGCCACTGCCGCTGCCCTTTGGCCGACCGCGGCCACGACGGGGAGGCTCAGCGGTGGCGGAGGCGGCGGCCGCTGCGGCAGCCTTTGCGTCTTCCTTGGTGCGCGCCATGGCTGATGCTGTGTGGGAAGTACGTTGGTGGTGCTGGTGGTGCGGCTTTGCTGGGGGTGGTGCTGCAAGGAGGCGCGCGGCGCGCACACACACGCGCGGGTCTGGGAGGAATTGAGGAAGGGGTCCCTGGCGCAAGTTGCACAGCTAACTGAGTAAACGGTGGAAGAAAACGAAACGGGGCCGCTGCGACGAAAGGGAACACGATGGAAAAGGATTGCAAAACCGATGGGAGAAACAACAAGGAGGATGAGGAAAGAGGAGTTCGTTTGACAGAAGAAACGACGGGCTATCAAGCAATCAATCACCTACGGCGGGAAACGCGTAAACGAGCTTGGGGGGCGGTGGTCCAGCTCTGGCGCGTCAGGGCGGGCGACAAAATTCACTGGAACGGTGGAGAGCTGCGTTCGTGAGATGTGATGACGGGGTATTTCCTTCAGGCGGTAGGTGTGCTTTAACTCTGTTAGTGCGTTATTACCGCGCAATTCGCTCGACTCGATACGGCAACACACTGTCTCTGGCTCTCGCCGGCAGACCCACATCAGCTCACTTCCATGCTGTCTGAGGTGTCTCAATGCCGTGCGCGCCCGCTTAGCTAATCCAATGGCGCACGGCACGGGCTGGCAGTGGAGGCGGACCAGGGGACAAAAGCATCCCCTGTAACAATGACCGCTGCGACCGCTGGCGGCCCCTGCGCTTCCCCCCGGCAACAACGGCCTCACCCCACGCCAAAGTAAACAAAGCCCTTGTCCGACATCAAATCTCCACCACGACTTCCCGGCTGCCCGGCTCGCTCATGTATCGCAATCTTCGCAAGCGGCTTCGCGATAGTGTCCAGGACATCAACGAAACCCTGCTGGAAATGGCCCTCGACGCGCGGCTCATGCCCTCGTCCTCGACCTCGTCTGCCTCGGGCCTCGTAGCGTCGTCCGCCTCGACGCCGTCGCTGCGCTCTCGCGATGCGTCGACGCCCGTGCCCGCCAGGATGGACGGCGGCGGAAACGTAAGGGTCGTCGTGCGCGTGCGCGCGTTCCTGCAAAGGGGTATGTCGCTTCGTGCGTTGCTGCCGGTGGCATAGCTCAGGCTGCTGACAACAAGGACCCAAACAGAGATCGAAAAGGCTACGAGATGCCTCATCGACATGGACCCCATCACCCAGGTCACGACTCTCAAGGCCCCCGAGATTCCCGGCACGCCCAATGGCAAGCAGAGCCTGCGCGGCAAGGTCATCGACGACAAGCAGTTCACCTTTGACAACTCCTTCTGGAGCCACGACGTCAAGGACACCCACTATGCCCACCAGGAGGACGTCTACAATAGCCTAGGCGAGGAGTTTCTCGACCACAACTTCGAGGGCTACCACACCTGCATCTTCGCCTACGGCCAGACCGGCTCCGGCAAGAGCTACACCATGATGGGCACGCCCGAGCAGCCGGGCCTGATCCCCCGCACATGTGAGGACCTCTTTGAGCGCATCGAGGCGGCGCAGAACGAAGACTCCAACGTCGCCTACAACGTGCGCGTCTCGTACTTTGAGGTCTACAACGAGCACGTCAGGGACCTGCTCGTGCCCATGGTACCCAGCTCGGCGCCACACTACCTCAAGATCCGCGAGTCGCCTACCGAGGGCCCCTACGTCAAGGACCTGACCGAGGTGCCCGTCCGCAGCATCAACGAAATCATGCGCTACATGAAGCTGGGCGACTCTTCGCGGACGACGGCGAGCACCAAAATGAACGACACTAGCAGTCGAAGCCATGCAGTCTTCACCATCATGCTGCGCCAGATCCACCACGACATGGAGACGGACGAGACGACGGAACGCAGCTCGCGCATCCGCCTCGTCGATCTGGCGGGCAGTGAGAGGGCCAAGTCGACCGAGGCCACCGGCGCGCGACTCCGCGAGGGTAGCAACATCAACAAGTCGCTCACCACGCTCGGCCGCGTCATTGCCGCCCTCGCGGACCCGAAGCAGCTGCGCTCCGGCAAGCGCAAGGACGTCGTGCCGTACCGCGACTCCATCCTGACGTGGCTGCTCAAGGACTCCCTCGGCGGAAACAGCAAGACAGCGATGATTGCGTGCATCGCCCCGTCTGACTACGAAGAGACGCTCTCGACACTACGATACGCCGACCAGGCCAAGCGCATCCGCACGCGCGCTGTCGTCAACCAGGACCACATCTCCACCGCCGAGAGAGACGCCCAGATCGCGGCCATGGCCGAGGAGATTCGCCTGCTGCAGGTGTCGGTGTCGGACTCGCGGCAGCGCGAGAAGAACGCCAAGGAGGCCGAGGAGAAGCTGGAGGAGTACCAGCAGCGCGTGGCGCAGATGCAGCGCATGATGGAGGAGCGCAGCATGGTGGCCGAGAGCAAGATCAAGAAGCTGCAGACGGAGAACGAGGCCCTCAAGCTGCACCTCAAGCTCGCCATCGACAGCCTCAAGAACCCGATCCCCGCCGTCACCATCAGGTCCGCGCCCGACGGCGGGGACCACTTCCTAGGTGTCGGGGCCGAGAACAAGGCCGCGTACAAGGAGAACAGCGGCGTCAACAACGACGGCGACGAGGCAGAGTACGACGACGACTACGGCTACGACTCGGACAGCACGGCCGCCGGCGACGAGCTGCAGGAGGAGATGCAGCGCTACCTCACCGACATGGGCAATCTGCGCAAGCTCATCGGCGGGGACCTGTCGCGGTTCAAGGACGACGCGAGCGTGCGGATGCCCCTCGGGACGCGCAAGAACGTGTAAGAGGCGCGCCGCGCCGCACGGGGTGTTACGCGATGGGATGGGATGGGATCTACGCAACTGGTGTAGACGGGGCTGAAACGAGTGACGCGAGCGTTTTACTTTGACAGACTGACGACGGATTGCAAGCGCTGGAGTTGGGGTGCATGGACGAACCACCACTTGCTTTGGGCTACGTACCATAGATAGGGCCTCTTTTGTAAAAAATGTAGTGCTATTCGCACAGACGGGGAAGTCTAGTCACATAGATTCTCCTCATTTATCTGGGCATGGGATGGCAGTGGCGTGCTGCTGTTGCCCTCGTTGCCCTCGTTGCCTTCGTTGCTGCTATCCTACACTTATGGGAGACTCCAACGCCGGCACAGGACTGCGCTCCCTATTTATGTGTCACGGGCTGGGCAGCACGAGTTTGGCCAGAAAAAAATGATTGGTGCGGAACATCTGTGCTGCTAGACTATTTGCTCGTCACCCGTCTGGTATCCTCCAGAAATACATGGACGAAGCCCATTACCAAGTCGATCCAGAAACAGAAAAAAAGGTGATGACCCAGGTCATAGGCTGCCATGACAAAAGGAGATCGTGCAGGGAGATTGCGACAACAGTGGACCAAGAGAGGTCGAAAGCCACAGCCAAGGAGGCATATGGCAACGTGGCTCGCTCATCAGTGGGAGAACAACTGGTTCAAGCTCGTCGACGCCCACAACGCAAATAGTGGAAGTGATTGGCGATTTGGCCTGAGATGACACGACCTATCTTGGCCGTACGTACCCATTTCCCATCAACGGTAGGACAAGTTTATCTGTTGTGCGAATAGCACTCCTCTCTATAGATGAGCTTCCCCCCAGGAATACATGTAGCTGATTACTTCAGATCAGCAGCCAAGCCGTCAGGTTGATGGCCATGGAGAGCCAGACATTTCTCCTCCGGACATCCGATAGAGAGGGGAGAGAGAAAACAAATGGCACATGCATGAACAGGTGATGCCGGACATTTCTCCTCCGGTCCGGATATCCGGGAGTAGGGAGAGAAGGAATATGAATGGCATGACGAGTGTATGCCCCGTGGTCGATTTAGAGTTGTTCTGCGGCGGAGAAAAGACCAACGCTGTTGTGTGTTCCCGTCCCGTGGTGTACAATTTGCGTGTATTATGTATGTGAAAACTCCTCGACTCGTCCCAATGCCCGTCCGTGTAGAACTCCAGGCTGGTGGCTCCAACTCCGTGTACTTGCCTAATTAGGCAGCCCCAAGACAAATCCCAAGCGCAGCCCAAAACACCATCCACGATTCCCATCCCAGGCCTGTTCCCACTATGCGACTGTCCTTTCTGCCATCCCACGACTCGTTCAGCCGTCCCATAACTCTGTCGGACCCGGTGCCACGACTCTTTCGGAAAACCCACGACTCCCGCAAACCATGCGACAACACCTCCACCCAATCAACAAATCCTGCCAGAATCAATCCCATGACGCCCCCCAAACATGCCCAAAACTCGGTTCAACCATCCCGAACTTCTTTTCATCATTCTGTTTCCCGGGAGGAGTGACGAGACAACGAGGAGGACCGGCAACTCCAAACCTGCAAGGGCGGACGAAATGTGTCTGGTATGGCCGCCAGGGGAGATGCCAAAGCCTTAGGTGCTCTCGTTGTCGTCGGTCTCCATGCCCAGCACATCCAGGTCGACGACTTCGTGCAGCGGGATGGAAGCGAGGCAGGACAATATAAGGGGCAGGTTGTACGCCACGGCCCGAGTCAAGTCGCTGGCCATCAGAGGGGCACCGCGCAGGAACAAGTAGTCGTCGAAGAGTACGTCGTGCCCGCCCGCGAGGAGATTCTCGTAGGTGCGGTGCGAGTGGCGGTCGAGGAAAGCATGTACCTCGTCGTCAGAGAAGGGGACCCATTCGCTGATGGCGCCGTATATGGGAAGCACCGCGTCGAGGTCGAGGTTGTCGGAGATGCCATCGCCGTTGATTTGATAACCGCCGTCGCTGAAGACTGCCTCGGCCACGTGCCCCATCTCGGCTTCGGCGAAGTTGTAGTCGTTGTCCACGTGCTGGCCCAGCTCGAAGGCGTAGACGTCATCGTTCATGTGCTGGTCCATCTCGACGACGAGGGTCTCATCTTCAGACTCCCAAGTCAACGGATATTCAAAGCCCTCCATCGGGTCGACGTCGCCGAAGAGCTGAGTTTCGTCGAAGTTGTTGGGGCCGTCGAGACGGCGCCATGAAGGGAGGGACAGGTCCAGCAAGTTTGGGTGCCAAAAGAGGACCTCCTCGTTGAGCCTGTTGGGTGCCACCATCCGGCCGCTGAAATACTCCCGACACCATTCTTGCGCATCAGGAATGACGCGGAGCATGTCATCGTAGGTGTTTCCCGCGTTGAGGTAGTCGAGCAGAATGGTCAGGCCGTCGAGGTATTTTTCCGAGTACTCGTCGTCTAGCTTCGTGGCCAGCGCCTGGTCCCTCTGGACTTCGGCAGACTCGCCGGAAAAGCTGTCGGACGTGACTCGAGGCATGATGAGAGTGTGTTGCGACGTGACGGCTTGTGTTGGGTGAGACGGGACGGGACAGGACAAGCTGTTGATGGTGGTGGTGATGATGATGATGATGTGATGATGATGTTGTTGGTGTTGTTGTTGTTGTTGTGGTTGTGAGCGGTGCGTTATGAGCCCGATGAGATGGGCAGGTGTGCAGTGGCAGCAGAGTGGTTATGTAAAAGGTTGAGTTGTGAGGCGATGTTCGCAGAGACGAGACGAATTTTGTAGTGTGCAGAGAAGAAAACGCAGGCAGACAGAACAGGAGGAGCGAGGCCGCGTTTTATACCACGCAGGCCAGGCCCCAAGGCTCCTACGTTTGTTGAGTTTCTTGTCAGGAAAACCATCCAGAAAATCCGTGTAGGCGCATTGTCGCAAGAGTGTCGTGTTGTCTACCGTCAGTGCTTAGTAGCGCTGGTAATATGCTTTGCGAGACGTGCAACTGAAATGTACGCGTGGCCCTGACGACGGCGGCAGTCAATCAGTTGCAATCTGGAGGATAGTGGCAAGGCACAGTTTGTCTTCCTTTCATGGCTCCCATTCCAAGCGTTTCTGGTGTTCCTGTCGTGTCTGCCGTGCTTGTCGTGCCCGTCATGCCTGTCGTGTGAGACGTAGCAACGGCGACGCACGCCCAGCACCAAGGCAGGCGCTCCGACATCCTCTTTTGCTAAAGACATGAGCACGCTAACATCAATATTGTAAATTCATCGAGAAAGTGTACCATTTCTAGGTTTAAGTGCCGGGCGTCTTTAGTTTCCATACTGCAAAAGCAATCAAAGGCACCCAAAGGCCATCCGCAAGTCCATGATGACTTCCAACGCGCGCACCTAAGATAGAGCTCCATGGCCAAAACGGAGCCATCAAACTCTACGTACTTTACGGATTGGTCATCAAACAGTGCCTTTACACGATTTACTCTGGGGGGGCAGGGAGACATAGTGTCATGGCAGCCAGGCTCGACATCTACCAGACGCCGCTCGGTGACGCATTAGTGGTGGAGTGTTTTCCCTCAGATAATCTACCCCATTGACATGTAGGATCTAGCCAACTCTGACTTCAGAGGTACTCGAGTTCTACATTTTGCGACGTTAGGCTTACGACCAGGTGTCGACGCTTCTTCAACGGAGTCTGTTCAGTCTCAGTGCATGACCGCAAGTGCCCGACTTTCTACTGTGCGGCCGGCTTTCGAGCTGGAAATAGAAGTCGGAAGAAGATTTCCTGTGCAACGCAGTGGCTCTTTTAATGGGAAGTTTGGGCACCATTGGCGTTGCGGCAAGAACAGTGTTGATAGTCCGTCTAGACGGCATAGGCATTGCTCGTTGTCGGCCTTGCCAACAGTCTCTTGGCATCAACAGCAGGGGATACATCTGGGCTTCGATTGCACGGGACATCGCGAATCCACGATCGTGTTTCGGCCCATCAGGCTCTTTTGTAGCCTCCATCGTATACGTCGCCGCGGCAGCTACAAGGTTGTGCATATCTCATGCGCCAGACACCCCGAGAAGCTGCATAGCCAGCCCGAAGACGTTGGAGGCGCAACGCTTCTGCATCGGCTCGATCGTTGGGTCTGCACTCGAACGCAGGCCATAGACGGCGTTGGCATCGACACGCCAAGGGCGCATTCGTGCCTCCGCGGGCCCGCGGGAATCAGCACTCCGTGTCGATGTCGACTTCTCTCAATTGACTCAGACCGAGAGCTGCTGGCGAGGGGGCCAACACGTCCGTTCCATGCCTCGAGGTGCATGGTGGACAATTGGGTTCTTTAGCTGCATGCTGACAGCTGTGGTGTTTGGCCTCGCCGCTGGTCAAGGCCGGATCGAGCTCATGTCGTGCTTCCAGGGGTCGTGGTTCTGAAACACGGGAAGCTTTCATGGACGAAGTGGATGGAAACGGGTGGTTGGAGCTCGGCGGTGGTGGGGCGAAGGGCAGTGGGGTATGGGTGAGGTGTGGGTGCCGCCGCTGCACTGTGGCGTGCCGGAGGCGGCGTCGGGTCGCTGTAGCGGCGAGAAGGGCACTGGACGCTTCCATCCATCCATGTCGCGGCCGCAATCGGAGGCGGCGTGACGCAAACGCAGGGCCATTGCCGGCTCAACAGCCAACCACGCAGCCAACCCCGCCATAACTTTTGCCCGAGACAATTAACCCCTCCATAAGGTATCCCGCCCCCCCACGCTCCCAAGCTTGGGCTTGAGAAACTCGACTCCGCCAACTATTTCTCCATCCTCTCGCACTGCCATTGACGCCTGAAAATCACAGCAAAAATGGCTCCTCAACAGTATGTGCCTCTGCCGGCAATGGTGTTTATGTGTGTGAAGCCTGGCTGACCCAATTGACCCCCCGCCGCAGGACTGTTCTCATGCTGGGTGCTGGGTTCGTGACCCGCCCTACGCTCGACATTCTCACGGCCGCGGGCATTCCCGTCACCGTTGGTAAGTCGAGCTGCCTCGATTCGCGCGAGGCCACTGGAGCTCACCGTATTGCGTCTCAGCCTGCCGCACGCTCGAGTCGGCCAAGAGCCTGTCCGCCGGCGTCAAGAACGCCACGCCCATCTCCCTCGACGTGACCGACGACAAGGCGCTCGACGCCGAGGTGGCCAAGCACGACCTCGTCATCAGCCTGATCCCCTACACCTTCCACGCGACCGTCATCAAGTCGGCCATCCGCCAGAAGAAGAATGTCGTCACCACCAGCTACGTCTCCCCCGCCATGATGGAGCTGGACCAGGCGGCCAAGGACGCCGGCATCACCGTCATGAACGAGATTGGCCTCGACCCGGGCATCGACCACCTGTACGCCGTCAAGACCATTGACGAGGTCCACCGCGCCGGCGGCAAGATCCTGTCCTTCCTGTCCTACTGCGGTGGCCTGCCCGCCCCCGAGGCCTCGGACAACCCGCTCGGCTACAAGTTCTCGTGGTCCTCGCGCGGCGTGCTGCTGGCCCTGAGGAACGCGGCCAAGATCTACCAGGGCGGCAAGATTGTCGACATCGCCTCCAAGGACCTCATGGGCACCGCCAAGCCCTACTTCATCTATCCGGGCTACGCCTTCGTCGCCTACCCCAACCGCGACTCGACGCCGTACAAGGAGCGCTACAACATCCCCGAGGCGCAGACCATCATCCGCGGCACCATGCGGTACCAGGGCTTCCCGCAGTTCATCCGCGTGCTGGTCGAGACGGGCTTCCTCGAGGACACGCCCAACGACGTGCTGAGCAAGCCCGTGGCGTGGAAGGAGGCCACCAAGGCCATCATCGGCGCGTCGTCGTCGAGCGCCAGCGACCTCGAGGCGGCCGTCGTGGCCAAGTCGACGTTCGACTCGGAGGAGGACAAGCAGCGCATCCTCAGCGGCCTGCGGTGGATCGGCATCTTCTCGGACGAGAAGATCACGCCGCGCGGCAACCCGCTCGACACGCTGTGCGCCGAGCTGGAGAAGAAGATGCAGTTCGAGGAGGGCGAGCGCGACATGGTGATGCTGCAGCACAAGTTTGAGATTGAGCACAAGGACGGCTCGCACGAGACGCGCACCTCGACGCTGGTCGAGTACGGCGACCCCAAGGGCTACTCGGCCATGGCCAAGCTGGTCGGCCTGCCCTGCGCCGTCGCCGTCCAGCAGGTGCTCGACGGCACCCTGTCGGAGAAGGGTGTCCTGGCCCCCATGACGCCCAAGATCAACAACCCCATCATGAAGGAGCTCAAGGAGAAGTACGGCGTCGAGATGAAGGAGAAGACTATTGTGTAAAAGGGGGCTCACGTGCCTGGCTTGGTAAAACACCACGGATATGACATGGTGGTGGGGTGAACATGAAGTATGAAAATGCACGAGACAGAGTATGATAGACAAAAATTGGACCTTGTGATGGAGCTGTCGACTGCGGCGTCCCAGCAGACGACACGCGATGAGTTGGCACTACGTGCAGTGCAGACCAGGTTGAAATGGCTCGAGTCGTGACGAAACACTGGCAGAAGAGCGATCGACGGCGTTTCGTGTGCGCCAGACCGGGAAGCCCCAAACAGGCATGCCCGTCAATCAGCGCGTGTCAACGACGCAACTGGCAATCTCCTGCAGCAGCGGCGGCTCGGCGGCAGGACCGTCGCCGGAGCCCTCGCGCGTCTGAGGGCCGGCTTTACTGGTTTCACGTCGCCGCCGTACCTTGTCTGGGCGCAAGGTCTTGCTACAGGCCTTTCCCACTAGAGCAGATATGTGCTTCTTTCTCGAGTTAGGATACAATCATTGTGTAGCAAGGCCTGGCCTCAACAGAGTGAGGGTGAGGTTGGGTAACAAGTAGCATCCAATCTGCAGGGCGATGCCGTTGCAGCCGTCGTGGGGGGCTGTGCTGCAGGTGACGGCCTGTCGAACGCCCCTGTCCGGCAGCCTGCACGTCAAACGTCGTGACGGCGGTCGGCTCTCCCCCTGTTCCCATCCACTACCTAGGCGAGGGAAGGGAGCTGCACGACGGGGGAGGGTTGCAGTGCCATCGAACGTCTTGGGGTCGCTGTTGCATGCATGCAGCTTATTAGGATGTGTGATGATGATGGTTGGCGCATCCTCAGAGACGAAGGGCCGGCCGCTGTTCCCTGTATTTACCTACGTGTCAGCAACAGACAGACTGTCTTTGGATGGGCTTCCAATTGGGTGTTTGTTGGACTGTTGGAGATTGAGATTGGATTTTTGGAGGCTGCGCGGGCAGCAGCTGAAGCCAAGAGAGGTGACGCAACAAAACCTTGGAAGGGGGGGATGGGATGGGATACCCCGGCCTGGCAGTGGGGATTGGTGCGGTCCTCGATGGAATTTGGCGCCGGCGGCTGGCGGGAGGGACCACAGGCAGTTCAGGGGCACGCACTCCCGAGTCGGGCTCTTCCCGTCTCGCTCCATCGCTGAGGGTTTGGTGGCCAGCCTGGGCTTGTGTGGCGCCGAGGGGCCAGAGGGGCTCATCAGAGGGGAAGGGGAGGGGTCAGAGCTTCAGCTGCCGCCGCCCATCAAGTGCGGTGCCCTGGCCTGCCTGAGGTGCAGCAGTGCGTGCAGACCCGAGGGGGCTGACAGGAAAGGCGGCGCTCTCAGGTGCCGACTGCCAGTCCCGAGTTGAGCTCCCATTTGCTAGGGCTGCCCTATGTACCTTTCTGTCCGCGTATGGCAGCCGCCGGGATTTGAAAGGAGTGCCTGTCGAAAGGCGCGAACGGGAGAGTGATGGATGCAAGTACCCCGCCATCCCTGACCACCGACACCACCACCACCACCGTCCATCCATCCATCCATCCATCCTCCTTTGTGCTTGCTTCGTGCGCACCGCCGACGTCCCAACCTCCCTTCTTTCTACCTTCCCATCCGTCCCTCGACACAGTCGCGGAAACTTCATCTTCCTCGAACCGTCGTGTGCTGCGCATCACCGCCCCTTCTCGATCCGCCGCGCCGACCGACCTGTTGTCATAACACCTCCCAAGGGTCCTCCCCTCTACCCCCCCGTCGACGAATAAATAACGGGCCCGTTCTAAACGTCTAACAACCGCCCACCCGCTCCTGTTCCCGCCCGCAACGGTCGCCGTCACCAGATACAACGCCCAGGCAGGAACTCACATCTCCAATAAACCAAAAGACCATGTCGGCGCGACCGCAGCTCTTCACGCGCGGCCTCTCGGCCTTGTCGCAGAGCACAGAGGCCAACTCGCCCGCCGAGCAGCGCGACGACGCCAAGCGCAACTTTCTCAAGACGATGCGGCCCCTGCCGACGCAGCACTACTGGAACGTCTACTTTGACAGGCAGCAGCAGCAGCAGCAGCAGCAGCCGCAGACGCAGTCCAGGGACCACCAGCAGCAGCAGCAGAAGCCCGACGACGGCGAGTACAAGGTGCAGCTCGAGCAGCTCGGCGGGCAGATCGAGTCGGTGCAGGACTTTTGGCGCTACAACAACAACACCCCCGTCGAGCAGATCAAGATGCGCGAGAGCATCTACCTCTTCAAGTCGGGGTTCCGCCCCGTCTGGGAGGACCGCCGGAACCGCGACGGCGGGAGCTGGACGTTTCGCGTGCCCAAGACGATTGGCCCGGACTTCTGGACGCGGGTCCAGCTGCTGGCCATAGGCGAGAAGCTGCAGAGCGCCCTCGCCGACGGTGCGTATTTACTCTCCCTCTCTTAGCCCCCCCCTGGCCCATTCATCCCCGACGTGCGTCCTCTAGCCGCAGGACGGACGTCCTTGCTAAAGAGTGGCGTGGCGTGGATGTTTCTCCGGGAGGTAAGTGAGGTCGCTAACCAGCACGTATATCGCACAGGCGACCAGCTCTGCGGCGTGGGCCTCTCGGTCCGCTTCAACTCGCACCTCATCACCATTTGGCACCGCGACTCGTCCAAGCAGGCCTCCATCGACGGCATGCTCGCCTGCGTCATGGAAGAACTGCCTGCCGAGCTGCGCCCCAAGTCGGACAACTACTTTTACAAGCGCCACCGCGACCACGCGGGCTTCAAGGCGCCTCCGGACGCGCAACCCCCCGCGCCCGCAGCACCAGGGACGACGGCCGCGCCCGAAGTGACGGTCGAGCCGCCGTCGGCGCACTAGAAGGGACAGCAGGACGATGAATGACGGTCATGACGGGTGTGCGTTTGGGGTCCTTTCTTCTCGACCCATTCTTGGTTTTGCGACTTGGCCCCTGAAGATTATTGGGCCTTTGCATGGGATTACGGCGTTGGAGACAGACGAAGTATTTGTTACTTGGGCGGCAGCGGCAACGACCTGGTGGTCGTGTGTCGCGCCGAGATCGCGTTGCTTTATAACTATGACAGAGAGTCGAAGAACCCGTGTATCTCGACTTAGCTAGATGCAAAAAGGTGTGCCATAACGCCTGAAAACTCGAATAACCTGTCACTGAGCCCTCACCCAACGCCATGCTAAACCGAAGCGAATAAAGAATCCTAAACGCCCACACACTCACACATAATACCAGTGCCAGTGTGTCACGTCACCTCCACACGCCGGCGTTGCGCATCACCTCGTCAAACTCGTCGACGCGGACGCCGCGCGCGACGCCGGTCCCGCCGTTTGCCTCGAGAATCATATCCTTGAGGAGCTCCTCGTCGACGTCCTCCTTGAGCACGGCGGCGACGCGGCGCAGGTGCGCGAGCGTGATGGGCCCCTCTGCGTCGCCGTTGGTGAAGAGCCGGAAGGCCTCGTCGACGGCGGCGCGGTGCGCGTCGTCGTCCTCGGCGTCGCTGCGCGCGTGCAGCTTGAGCGCGCAGATGGCGAAGAAGGGCTCGTACGTGGCGTAGCCGTCGGACGAGGGGTCGAGGATGGAGCGGAACTCGGCGAGCTCGGCGCGCGACGAGGGGGGGATGCCGAGGGCGCTGCGGGAGGGGGGCGGTATCGGTCAGCGAATTCCTCGTTCACAAGCTCACTCACTCAGACACTTGGTCCCTTAGCCGGTTTGCGGTTCTTGTCTTGTCGCGTAGCACATACGTATCTGCGGCGACGCGGACGGAGCGGGCATGGCCACGGGGTAAAACGGCAGAGGGGCAAAAGGCGATCGAGGAAAACGCACATGAGGGCCGACTTGACGTCGTCGATGGGCAGCACGCCGTTCTTCTCGCCGTCCATGGGCTCCGCGAACAGGCCCCACGCCTCTTTAATCTCGCCCTCCTCCTGCGCCGAGACGTTGTGCTCCTTGGCGAGCTTGCTCTGCCGCGGCGCCTTGGAGGCGCTGCCGCTCGCCGAGGCGGAGGCGGCGGCGGGTTTGCGCTTGGGGGGCTGCTCTCACGCGTCAGCTACTTTGATGCTTTTCTCATTTTAACGTATCGGAAAGGAGTGATGCGACGGTGAGCTGCGCGCCCGGGGGATAAACGCACCATGTGAGATGAGTGAGCGGGCTGGTGATGTCGGGGAGTGGTGAGGGCGCGCGTTGATGTCACCGGGTCGTGAGGTCGGAACGTGAGTGAGGTTGTCGCGTTGAGCCGGTGGTGGCGGTGATGTACAGTGCCTACTTCGGCATAGCTGGACTCCCTCGCACTGTATGTTCTCACTCGACGATGCATCTTCGTTGGGTGCGAGGAAGCGATCCGGAATGCTACACGTTCACCTAGACTACAGGACCTTTCAGATCAAACACTCGTCAGACCCATCGCTGTTAGGTATTCATGAGACTTCCTCATCCGAAACGTCTAAAAATGAACATTATGCGGTGTCGTTTTGAAAGCAGCGCCCGTCGGCCATCATGACGTCGTGAACGGACGACCCACCACCCTCCGAATCGCACGATCCCCCCAAACCTGGACCCTTCAAAAAAAGCGTTGCGCTCTCGAGTCTCCCAGGGACCCGCGACATGCCTCCCCGCGAACCCTTCACCTAGGCATACCCGACCGACCACACAGCATGGGGTCCTCGACACATCCGCGGCACGTCGCGCAGGTGCTGCTCTCGGAGCTCGGCCTCGACGTCGTGTCGTGCACGGAGCTGCAGTCGCTTTGGGCCGGCTACGGCCACATCTGCGCCGTCGAGGCGCGGCCCTCGCCTACATCACCGCGCGCCGCTGCCGCCACCCACGAGAGGAACCCCTCCGAGCCGCGGGACAGCATCGACAGCGAGGCCGACGGCGACGGCACGCTGCACCTCGTCCTCAAGCTCATCGCGCCGCCGACGCGCCACGGCGACGAGGGCCACCTGCGCAAGATGCTTAGCTACCAGGTGGAGCAGTACTTTTACGACGAGGTTGCGCCGGCCCTGGCCGCGGGCGAGAAGGATGGCGGGCCGGCCGTCGCGGTGTGCCTTGCGTCGACGAGGAGGCGGATGACGGCGGCGGGGACGGAGGCAGAGCAGCCTCTCGGCGACGACCTCATCGCCACCGTCATGACGGACCTGAGGGGCGAGTATCCCGTCGCCGGCGAGAAGCGCGCTGCGCTTGATGCGCGTCAGGTTCACGCTGCGCTGGAGTGGCTCGCCCGGTTCCACGGCGGCTCATGGAAGCTGCTCGGGGCGGGGCCTCGCCGCCTCGACGACGCGCTCCTCCTCCCGCCGCTGGAGGAGGAGTCACGGCGGAAGCAGAACCCCGGGCGCGCGGGCAGAGGGCAGCTCTGGCTCAACGGCGGGTACACGTACCTCGCCACGCGGAGGAGCGAGTACGCCGCGCTCGCCCGCGACGGCAGCTCCGAGTGGTGCGCGGCACTATGCAAGCCCCTGAACCGCGACCCCTCGTGGCCTTCATCCTCGCCGTCGTCCGTCGCGGAGCTGGTGGCTGAGTTCCTCACGCCGCGGGGCCGCCCCTTCGAGACGTACATCCACGGCGACGTCAAGTCGGAGAACCTCTTCGCCACCGACGCGGGCGACCGCGTCGCCTTTTTCGACTTCCAGTACGCGGGCGTCGGGCTCGGCGTCTGCGACCTGGCCAAGCTGTTTACGTGCTCGGTTCCGCTCGACATGCTGCTGGCCGGCGACGAGGAAGGTCGCGCAGCGAGGATAAAAGTACCGCGGCGGGGTCCGCTGGCCATGGGCGCGGGCGAGAGGCGTCTGCTGGAGGAGTACCGCGGGACGCTCCTGGCGCGGCGCTCGTCGCCGTCGTTCTCGCCGCCCGAGTACCCGTGGGAGACGTTTGTGCGGCACTGGGAGGCGGCGCTGGTGGACTGGTGCCGGTTCCAGGCCTCGTGGGGGTTCTGGGGCAACACCGAGTGGCTGCAGGCGCGGGTGCGGTCGATTCTCGCGGACGAGGGGTGGAGGGAGTGGCTGCTGCGGGAGGTGTCGTCATGAGGGGAGGGGACCGGACGGATGGCTAGGACATGAGGGCATGAAGACACGATGTAAATGTACAGCAATATCAGCGTCTAGAGCGAGTGTATACACGACATGACGAAGCTGTCCTGGTACAGTTGCTCGTGTTAGACGACTGTCAAACGACAGTGTGTGTCAAGACTTTGGCATTCGATTCCTCGACCCAGGTGCTGGTATAGTCATGACTGCACAAAAGAGGAAGCTGTGCTCTTATAAACACACAGCTCTGCCGCCCACGAGATAGTTGTCCAGAAGACATCTACTCAAGCCCACGAAAGCTCCTGTACACTCCGGTCAAGCTTCCTTGTCCTGCAACGGCGGTCCCTGGATCTCATAGCCCAAGTCACACTGTGCCGAAGCCCCCACCAAGCGGCCGGACAAACAGTGTCCCCGGGCCCAAGCTAGAAACTCGACCCACAGTAGCTCATTCCCAGGCCCCATAAGACAAGCCCATCTCGCACAAAATTTCCCCAATTCCCTCCCTTCCAACCCCCGTTCCATCTTCCCTTCCAAACCTCGCCTGCGCGATTGCAACGGACGACTACGTACCTGAAATTGGGCGGCGACGACGACGGCGACGACTCCTGCAGTGCACCACCATGTGTACTGTGACGGGCGCTCGGGCAATGACGACGACGATCATGATTTTGATCTAGAGGACGGCGGCCGGCGACGGCTACGGCTACGGCAGTTCAGCACGCAGTTGGCTGTCTGTGTGTGTTCGCACGCGCGCCCGCTCGCAAGCTGCGCACGTATTGTGTGTGCCTGCCCCCTGAAGTCAGGGCGCACGCACGCACGCACGCACGCAGCATGTGAGCGTTCGCTTCGCGTACCAGGTTTTCATTACCCGGCCGCCGCCGCCGCCGCCGCCGCCGCTGCTGCTGCTGCTGCTATCAGCACCCCCAAGCCGCCCGTCACCTACCGCCTGTCGTCTCGTCGCGCCCGCTCCTCCCCCCCGGCCTCCAACGCCAAGTGTCCAACGCCTGGGAGCCGGGTCCATGGGATCGCCGCGCAATGGCGTGAAACGAGGGGAAAGAAGAATGGAGGAAGAGGAGGAGGAGGAGGGACACGCAGGGGGAACCACCCAAACCCGCTTCAAAATTTGCTAGAGCTTGCCGCCTCAAAATTTCCCCCACAGCGCGCAAGTGTGGACAGTGAAGCGATAGCAAAACACACAGCAGGCTACCCGCACTCGGCTCAAAAAACGCCAGGCGCTCTGGTCTGTTCCAGCGCGGACGCTTGCGGTGCCTTCGTCACACCTGACGGGGTGCCTAGCGGCCCATGGAGACATATCACACACACACACACTATTCGTTACACCGTAGATACATAGCTTTTCGTAGCTTTGCCCTGCTTCTCTTCGATTTGTGATGGCGTGCTGTGCTGCACTCCGAGGGATGCTGTACCCGTGCTTCGTTGAGCTGAACTTCGTACAAAGAAGCGTACTCCTACTTCGTAGGGGTGCTTAACAGTACAAAGGACAGAGTACAAAGTCCCTCCCTGTTCTGCACCGACGCAGCCACCCGGCCTCGCCTCGGCTCGTTACATTCGCGCCCCGAGCGGCGGCCTGCGGCAGACAGCACGGTCAACGGCCGCGAGTGAGGGGGTGCGCGCGAGGGCCGGTGCCTCACTTGAAGTTGTTCTTCATCTCCCGCAGCTTGCCCATGACGTCCACCGGGTCCGTCGCGCCCGTCGCCTTCTGGATATGAGGGTCCTACAGCACTGTCTGTCAGTCACCATAGCACGGCCGCAGTAGCAACGCAGCACAGGGGGTGGCGGCGACTCACCTCGACGCGCATAAACAAGTTGTGTTTCTGTGCAAGGCAGTAGCCATCTCCTGTCAGTCTTTGTCTGCGTAACCTCACTCGTGTGCCTTGATGAGAGATGAGATGAGAGGGATGAGGGGTGCAGGGTGGTAACCCGAACCTTTTCGTCGCCAATGGTAAACTTGCCCGTCGTCTCCTTGTTGCTCTCGGCAAAGTCGTGCAGCTTCTTCACCGCCTCGCCCTGGTCGACCGAGAGCGCAAACTTGACGTTGGACTTTGTGTACTCGTGGCCTGGCTGCATGTGTGCGGCACCACCGTGCCATCGTCAGTCGCTGTCATCTCTCGCATTGTACGTGCTAGACACGGGACCGTCAACGCCGCCGTGGTGGCCGACTCACATATACGACCGTGTCATCCGGCAGCGCGCCGAGACGCTTGTTCAGCGCCTCGTGCATCTCCGCGGCCGACCCTTCAAAGAACTTGCCGCAGCCTGTGCCAGGGCCGGGGGGCCTTTGTTAGCACCAGCACAGATATCCGTGAGCTCGCCCGTCGGAAACATACCGCTGATGAAGAGCGTGTCGCCGGTAAACACGGCCTTGCCCGTCTCGTCCTCCATGAAGAAGCAGATGCTGTCCTGCGTGTGGCACGGCGTGTGCACCGGCTTCACCGAGATGCCGCCCAGCTTGAACGTCTCGCCGTGCTTGGGCGTCTTGGTCACGCCCTCGCAGTCCTTGCCGCCGATGATGTCGAGCTTGGGCGTGCCCAGCTCGGCCAGCTGTTTTGCCCCATAACGTCAGCCCCTCGCCTCATCCAAGAAGACAATGTTGCCCAAAATGAGCTTACCAGCTTCTTGTTTCCACCGGCATGATCCCAATGACTGTCTCGTGTCGTTAGAGAGCACGGTCACCTGGCTCATCCCCGCGCGCCACCCGCGCCGAGTACTAACTGGTGGGTGTTGACAATGGCAGTCAGGTTGATCTTGCCTGCCTGGATGGCATCCTTGAGAACCGGCGCAACCCTACACGACCCCTTCATCAGCACTGTCCGTATGGCTCGACATCACACACCGGGATACGCACTCTGGCGGGTTCGCAGGATCAATGATCACGGCATCCTTGGATTTGTCATCCACAACAAGGTAGGCGTAGTTGTTGCTACTCCCCACCCCTGTGACGGTCCCAGTATCAGAAGAGCGTCCAGAAACTCGAAGGGAAGCTTCGTTATGAAGAGTTGCAAAAAGTGGCGCTTACACATGGGGATCGACTGGATATGCATGGCGCGAGCTGTGATAAGCTGTGACTGAAAGCATCAGCACCGGCAAGGACCCGTCGGCAACGCCGTCAGCTCAGGGACGCTCACCGCGGCTGGTGGAATACCGAGGATCTGCTTGAGAAGCGGCCGGCGGGGTATGAGGCGGTTCATGTGGTGCGTGATGGGAGGGGTTCCGGTCGCATTGGAAACCGAGAGCTCCAATAGCTTTCCCCAGGGCGTGACGTTATGGCGAGTGAGCCCCGCACGTGATGCCTTACTAACAGTAAACAAGGGCGCTCCGATTCGCAGAAGCCGCCCAACGTCATCGGAACCAGAGGCAGACCGAACGACAGGTCGCAACGTCAACAATAGGGGTATCTTTGAGAGCGACTATAAGCAAAACCATGGCCGATAAGCCGTTACACCACGCCAATGGGCTTTGGCTTCCATGGGCCCTCGTATAAGGACCACCCCAGCGCCATCTCAGCCGCATTCTCTTCCACATCCCCCGCCGTGTCCGGCTCGGGGGTGGCCGTGTTCTCCTCCGCAGCGGCCTTGTCTTCTTGTGCCCGCTTGACCTCCTTGGACAGCTTCAAGCACCTCAAGTAGACCTGATTGCCTGGAAGCGTCCGTTGCAAGTCAGCAATGGCCGCCAGCACGCGCTCTGCGTCCCATCTCCCCAGCTCCCTGACTGCCCTCGCCGTGCGAGCCTCCTCGTCTCCGTCGTTCCCTCCGACGCCGCGCAGGTACCCCATGACAGCATCGCGACACGGATCAGCACGGCGGGCGCCGTTCCCAGCGGCGGCGTCCTCGGCCGCCAGGTTCTTCCAAAAGTAGTCCCATATCCACGCTAGCGCCTTCCGGGCCATGGACCGCAGCTTAGCCAGCGACGGCAGCTGCTCGTGCGTAGACTGGTGCCGCAGCTCGACGAATGTCGCCGGCAGGCCAATCTTCTTGGCGATGGCATACATGCTCTGCTTGCGCTGCTTGTCCTGGTGGCCGTCAAGCAGCCCCGTGACGAATCTGCGAACGCGAACACGCTGCGGTCAGAAATTCGGTCGTCACACTTCGGGCCGCGGAGTAACGGACGGCCCTCCGGATGTAGGCTTTGCTTCGCCCTCCGACTCACCTGCTAAACGCCGCCGCGTACGTCGCCCGCACGGCGTACGTCGACCACCCGCTGGCGCCCTCGGCTCCGGCAACCTCCTCGTCACTCAGCATGGCGGCTGTGAGCAGCGCCGTCGACTCGACCATGTGCGGGCAGTGCTGGCGCGCCATCCACATGGACACGCGCGCCACTGCCTTTTGCTGCTCATCTCGCCGGAGAGCCGCGGCCGTCGGGCTCGGCTGGTCGCTCGTCGTCCCGGCCTCCGTCGTCGCCGACTCCTCGACGCTGCTGGTCGCCGGTGCTGCTGGTGCTGCTGCCCCTGACTGCGCCTCCTCGCCGTAAAACTGACGCCGCACCAGCAACAGCTCCTCGCGGTCCCGCCACGGGTTGAACACGTACCGCACCATCCGCGCGGCACGCCAGGTCGGTCAGGTCCCCGCTGGTCCCTGGGAATAGAATGGCCCAGGGGGCGGCGGCGGTTGCGAGGTGGGGTGTGGGTGGAAGAAGGCGTCGAAAAAACAGGCACAATGCCCTCAGGGGAGGGAAGACCAGCGGGCTTCCGGAACGGCGGCAGAAACTTTGCGAGGCCCGCACGATCGTCCAACGAAGTGGAGAGGGGGCAAGGAAGGCGGCGCAGGAAAGATGGAAAAGAAGAAAAATGAACGAGGTCCGCAGGCAGGTTCGGGGTCTTGGTCAAGAGCCGACACCCCGGGCATGGGACCCCGTCGTAAGAACGAACGTCCGCGGCAGTACTGGACAATCGTAGCAGCACGGCGGATGCGTGCAAGTATTACGTGCAAGCACGTTTTTAGCTCTTGTGGTGGAGATGAAAAGATGATGGCGGTGATGCTCCGGCCCACGGGTGCCACGGGGCCACGGTCCACCGCCCACGCGCTGGGAGGGTCCAGGCAACTTTTTTCTTGCCTCTATCAAGTACCTCCCTCGGACGACGGGCAGCCGCGGCGGTGGAGGTGGGTGCTGGGAACAGTCGAGGAAGAATAATTGCGACGTGCGGCGGCGGGCAGCGGTGGTGGGGGCGAGGAGACCTGTGGCGCAGCAGGGCCCGTCAACCCGCGCGAACAACATTTTCCCGTGGAGAGCGTACGCGGTAGGTTGTGCGCTGAGCCACCGACCGGGTGGCTGGTGAGCACCCGCGCCGCCCCACGTCTGGCCGGCAAAGTCAAGTCATCGGCTTGGGGGCCCTCCCCTTCAAAAGCGCAGGGTGGTCCGTGCGTCCGCCCGCCCGCCATGACGGGAGTGTAAGGTGGGCGTGTGAGCGTGAGCTGCTGCTGAGCCAGGCCTGGAACTCACCCACCCGACCTCGCCTGGTGGGGCGGCCTTGGGCGGCGCCGGGCCCTGCAAGCCGCCCAACCTCGCTGGAAGCGCTGGAGGAACGGGCGGGGAGGGGCCGCCGGCGCTGGCCAATCAAAACTCTCCATCGCTCCCCAAGACCTGCACGGGCCCACCGGCGACACATGTCGGACAGGGGTCCCCGATGGAGGCTCTGCTCCCTCGCTTTGTGCATCCACCATCAACACTCCCAAAGGGGGGGTGCAGCCGAGCATCTTCACTCGTCGTTGTCCGCAATTCAAGATGGCATCATACGTACGAGTTCCCGTGTGCAGCAGGTATGCGGTGTATCGCGGGCTGAGAGCCCTGTCCTTCGCCTACCTCTACCATCTCTATGATACAACAAAGCGTGCTCGCCGGGGTATTCCTCTTTTGCCTCGTGGTCGTCCTCGGGGAGATACGCCTGTACCCTTCCAAAACCCTTGATACAAGTCCAAACGCCCCGATTTTCCCAGCTTGTGGCCGGTACTCGTCTCGTAGTAAATATGACGGAAAAACAACCCGCTCCCAATGCATCCCTGATTGCTCAGTCCCACGCTGTCAAAGGGCAAAGGGCCCTGGTCCCCAGATATGGGTACAGATGGCTTGCATCAGGCAGCGACCTTGCGGTTCTGCCCTTCGCCATCGTCGTCCTCGTCCTCGTCGTCCTCGTCCTCGCCGTCGTCAGACTTGGGAGGCTCCCACGTCTCTTCCAGCTTCAAACCCTTGCCTCGCGGCTCTTGAGGTCGATACGTCGATCCCAGCAACGAAGAGACGGTTGACCGGTAATTGTTGAGCTGGGGGTCCTCGTCAAACTTTTCTGGCGTGTCATAAAGTCCCATGCCGACCAGTATCTCGCCTTCGTCCTCGTCCTCGTCGAGGCCCTGGCACGTCTCCGGGCGTTCAGAGACCGCTGGCTGCGACAGTGTGGCTTGAGGAAAGGTCTCCGGCGTGGGGGGAGACGTGTTGTTGAAACCCTGCAAGACGAAAGAGTTCCAGTCCAGCCCACCGTTGACTGTCGTCTTTGGGTGGGTTGACACATGTTCCAAGGCCGGGAGGGACTCTGGCATGCCGGCATTGCCGGTTGGCGGGCCATAGAACGGCGTCGTCCGCTGTGACAGCTCCCAACCGTCGCTGCGAGGGTACTGGGCACCATTCTCCGCGGCGGGGAAAAGCGGCAGGGGAGAGAAGCTCGAAGAGGGTGATGTGTTGTTGGAGTAGGAGGCCATCGTGGGCGAGAACTGAGCATGCGTCGAGTACAGGTCGTGGCTGTCTGCATAGATGCTCGAACCAGGGAAAGGATAGCTGGTCGGTTGTTGATACGGCTGCTGCCGCTGATGGATATATGTCGAAGGGTGCCAGCTGAGCGGGCGGCTTGTCGTCCGGTGAGCCGAGTCCATCTCGGTGTCCGTGGGCATCGAGATATAGTCGACGTTGTTGTGGTGTTGCTGCTGCTGCCGCCGCGGAGCAAAGCCGTCTCCCATCATAGTCCGCCTCCGGCTCTGCACAGATGAAGATCCAGATGTGTATAAGAGACAGGTTGTGGTGTTGCTGCTGCTGCCGCCGCGGAGCAAAGCCGTCTCCCATCATAGTCCGCCTCCGGCTCTGCACAGATGAAGATCCCGGGCTGTTGCTGGCGCTTTTGGGCTTCACGACCCGCATGGCAGGTCCCGGCCGTTGGCCGCCCGAGCCCCTTGAGAATCTTCGTGCCGCCTGGGAGATGGCCATCTGTGTTGATATGTGGTCGAGGAAGCCTGCCTGGCCGTAGGATGGCGGCAGCATCTCCGGGGTGTGCACCCCATACGCCGGGTACATCATGGCGATGTACCAGTCGAGGTGTTATCGAGAGAAATGGTTGATCAGACGTCGATGCCCTGAATCAAAGCAAAGGCCGTGCTCTTCGTCTTGTTATCATGTCACTTGGGCGAGCATGTTGTTGTGAGTGGGCGGATGGGTGAGGATGGCCGTGGGTTATGTAGGAAGATCGCGGTATGTAAACTAAGGCGCTGCGTGGTCCCGACCAAGGGAGAGAGGTGGGCTTCGAAGGATGGACACGCCGCAAGCCCCATCCATCAAAGGACGGCTTTAGATGGAAGGATAAGTCGAGCCAGTGGTGTCAGTAGTCCCAGGTCGAGCTTCACACCCAGGACTCGAGTGTGGGCCGGCAAGACACAGGGCAATAAGCGACATGGTAGACTTGGTTTTGGCGCTGGACCAAACGTGCGGGTTGCATTACTGTAAGCCCAAAGCATCAAGGGGTACGTACAGTGCCGTACTGAGCCCAGCGTCCGCATCGCGTTTGTCGTCTGCGACCCATAGCTGCCCACCGGGCTAGGGTGGTGAGTGGCACACTGAGCGTCCGCTGGCGACAGCGGAGGGTGTGCGGTGTTTAGTGTGTCGTGTGGCATCCCGGGCCTGGAGAAGGGGTGTGGGCGCGGAACGCGGTGCGTCATCCTCCTCCGTGCATACGGACTGCACCATGTTCCCCACGCACAAACGCCCGTACGGGGTCACGGCAGGGGTGTCTCATCGGACGGATTCCAGCCTGGAAAGGAGCAGTGGGCTCCCATCCTCCAAGGGGGCCCCGTGCCGAGAGACAATAGCGCGGGCCAGGAAAAGTTGGTGGGTGTCATCGTTGGGGATCGAGAAAGTGCCAGCACCACGTTTCGTGCAGGCGGTTCGGAGAAAGATGCTTGACGAGTACCTCCAGTTTTAGTACGCATGTACATGGTCGCCGCGCATGCATTCTCGCCGCTCGACGCCAGGGCGGCTTGCCTTGCTTGCTCGTCGGTCTAGTTTCCTGTGGCCGGCGGTAAGGTCGCGGTGGAGCTCCCCAAAACGCCTCGCTGGCGCAACAGTTCGTGGCGGTCATTGCCGGCCGACGCTGTTCCCGGTCATTTCTGCGATCATCATTCACGCGTTGCTTCGCACCCGCGCACAGTCCGGAGTCAAATTTTTCTATCTCCCTGGCGATATTCGGCCTCGGTACTCCGTGTATGCCTGCCCATGCCTGTCGAAAAGGCGCTGCAGGTGACCGGATGTGATGGCCCAGAGTACCGAGGTCAAGGCCATGCGTCTTGCTGGTCATGCACCGTTCCCGAATTTGGATGCTCGCTGTTGGCTGGCCGCAGTCAAGGCCGAGCGAGCGGCGGAAGCCCCAGGGAGGACCTGGAGCAGCACAAGGGGTAGGGGCCTCGATCCCGGCCCGGCCTGAACCGCTGGGACCAAGGCGCTTCCGCCAGCGCGGGCTGGGACAAGGGCATGAAGGCTTGGAAGGGCAGCAGCTGCTGCTGCTCGTCAGTGATAGTGGGGGGGAGGAAGGGGGAGAAGAAAAAGCATAGGGTCCACAGCAGAGCAACCCTGGCGCGTCGGTCCCCATCAGCCCATCCATGAGGCAACCCTGTTGGAAGATGGAAGGGATGAAGAAGAATCGGGCACACGCTGGCGTCTCTGTATCACGGCCGGCGAGAAGGCCAGCCAGTCTTTGGCCGAGCATGCCGACGACAGGGACCCATTTGGAGGGTGGTGCGCCTGACGGGGCGTGGGCGGACGTCGGTCGGGAAGCTGCAAGTGCAGGTCGTGAGCGGCCGGGGTCCCTTCCCTCGGGGCCCGTCCTTTGGGCTTGGGGCTTGTCGGCTCGAGGATGGCCCCACACGAGACACGGAGGACGAGGCGGCGGCGGTGGCGGCGGCGGCGGGGGAAGAAAGGTCGACTCGAGAGTTTGGACCCGGCTGCATGGCTGCGAGCCTGTTGCTCGTCCTGGCTGGTCTAGCCGCACCGACGAGGCGTGCGTCACCCAGAGATGCCACTCGTCAGGCTCGGCGAGATGGACGTGATGGCGCCGGGAGAGGCTAACTCGTCCGCAGAGTCGTGCCGCAGCCTCGACATGGCTCTTACAAAGACCCCGGCGTCTCTGTGATCTGATCTCCACCGCCCCTGGTCCGGCGGGAGGAGACGGCCACGCCTGGCGTCCCCATATCCACATTCGCTCGTTGTTGCTGAGGCGGTCTCGGGCCAGCCAACAAGCACCCGTCAGCAAGGGCAAAGGGGCCTTCGAGATTGGCGCGGTCGGGATTTGCAGCTGCGCAGCCCAAGCCCACACCCCACCAAACGGCAACCCCTTCATCGTCCTCGTCGTCGTCATGGGCCCTTTGGTCTCGCAACGGACGATCAATATCGTTTCCGCTGTCCAACTTGGGACCTGGCGTCAGAATTTGCATTTTCTCCCTCTCTGTCTCCATGAGCCGGGGGCGGCGGGCACCGGCGCGGACGGCTCCACCCAGCTTGCACGAACCAAGGTTTTGGCTGTGGTGGTTGACGAACAAGCCCCTCGACCCGATGCGAATACTGTCTCGTCTTAGAATCTGCTGGCTCGATGAGTTTCCGCCTTGTTTCTCCCCGACGGAGGGCTCTGCTCTCAAGCAGGTGAAACAGGGCGTGCGGCTGGCACGTTACTGGAGCATGGAGCTGTGTTGATGGAGTATTGTACAGTACCTCGCATCCTCTGTACCCGTCGCGTTGAGCGCCAGAGGCAACGGGCAGAGGGCGGCGCATTGCTTTTTTTCGCCCTCGCTGTTGGCGGAGACGGCTGTTCACAGAACGCACCGCACCGCATTGGTGTTGCATGGGAGGCGGAAGTGGGTGCGAGGCTGGCGGGAAATCAGGCTCGGTCGAAAAAAGTCACAGATGCAGGTGCGTCTGCGACCCCGTCACAGTTGGCGCGTTGCGGGTACCACGAGTACTGTGCAGGCAAGGCAGGTGGAACCAAGAACATGGAATATCCGCTACCGATGCGTTGAGCCAGAGGATCCGTCAGGCCCGGGAACAAGTATTCGGTACCACCGCGTGATGAATGGCAACAACCGGCGACAGAGGATGCACGTTTGAAGTGCTGGCGGGGGTCGAATGACGCCGGGCTGGCTGGATGGCCAAGGAGCGAGCAGAGCAGGAGCCGCTTCAATGGAAGGGAGCCCTGCTCGGGAGGGACTGCTGCACCAGACCGGCGAGAACAACGGGGAACTTGGAACTCAAAACGCGCCAGTACGTCTCTGGCGCAGACCAGCCGTCGTTCACGGATGCGCAAAGTGCAGGGCCATATTACGGTACGGACGGGAGTTCTCGCGGCTGGCATGGAGTATGGGGTACGGATGACGCACGGCGAACACATAGTCCAAGGAGGTATAGAGTACATCGCTTCAAGCCCTCGCTCGCTCGCTCCCCGTTAGTGCGGACGGGCAGGCACCCACTTCATCTGCAACAGGGCCGCCAAACCCATTGTGCTGCTCTCGTCAGTAGCTTCTCCTGGTCGTGCCTACCCTGCCATCTGCTTTGCCTGCGCCTGCGCCTGCCGCTAGTGGGCACGCACGCACCTGCCTGCGCTGTCGCATGAGTCGCCACAAAGCGGAGGCGCGACCCATCTGCGGGCTCGCCTGCCTGCCAGGCGCAGGCGTCCAGGCGTCCAGGTGTGCAAGGCGTGGTCACACTGGCGCTGTTGGCACACGCCGCTCAGACCGGGGCACTGGAGGAAGCCGATCCGTCTGTCCGCTCCTCATTGCCGTGCGGTAGCGCAGGGAGGGCCCTGGGCCACTGCGCCAGAGGGGCTTAGGAGGCTTCCTTGGGGCTTTGGGGGCTTGGGGGCTTGGATGCTCCAGGTTGGGCGGTCCTTCCAGGTTCGGTGGCTGCCTCGTAGTCACCACACAGTGGCACCCACCGCGCCCCCAACTCCCATCTCGCTCCATGCCTCCATCCATCCACTTCCCGTCTGCGGTGCGACAAGGCCTGGTCCGCGCCTGGTCGCAGCCATCCATCGGGCATCCCTCCGCCGCGGCCGCCGCCCCATGACTGGCGCTGGCTGGGCTTGTTCTCGAGCGCAAATTCGACTCCGTATCGATCCAGCACGTTGGTTGCCCGGATTAGCCGTTTACACGTCTGCGTCCCCCGTCAGCGTGCCGCCAGACTGCATGCCCCCCCCCCCTGTCCATGCCCGCAACAAACTACTTCACGTATCTCCCGTGGTGGGAAGCCAACCGCACAAGGACGGCACCCCGCTGAGGCCTGGCTGGAGCAAGGGACGAGCGACCCAGTCATGAGACCGTCGAGACAGAATTCTCGCGCTCGCTCACGATGGAGCACTTACTCCTCCGTGAGGCATTGGCTCGCCACAAGACAGCAGATCGCGAGATCACCATCGACGTGGAGCGTGTCCAGGGCTGTCCTCCACCGCGCCACCGGCGTTTCTTACTCGTGCACTCCGCAGGCCCGTTCTCGTACAATTGTGGTTTCTGGCGAGGTCCGGTCGCGCTGTCGGTTCGGCCCCAACACTACTGTACCAGTAACATTGAAAGCCGACGGCGTCCAACCTGACCAAGCATCGGCCAAGTCTGATGTGTCGCAGCCATGGCTACCTGCGTCCACGACGGCAATGCATGCGCGGCGACTCGAAATGGGCTTGTCCCAAGGAGGCGCTTGCCGCCACCCACTTGCC